TTTTTGTTGTTGTTGTTGTTGTTTTTTGTGGCTGTGAATGCCTTTCATCACCGCCTTCTTGGCCTTGAAAGCCTTTGTTTTTGCTTCTGCTTTAGGAGTGGGCAGGAGCTTACTTCTTCGCCTTCAGTGCCATCTTGGTGAAAAGCAGAAATGATAATTTTTAAGCTGTGTTATTCTCTTTAGAATTTTCTGGAGCCATTAGAGCAAAATGATATATTTTCCTTCTTTAGAAAATTAAGATTTATTTATTTATTTAAGGCAGAGTTACAGAGAGAGAGAAGGAGAGCAGAGAAATCTTGCATCCACTGGTTCACCCCCAAAATGGCTGCAACAGCTGAGGCTGGGCCAGACTGAAGCCAGGAGCCTGGAACTCCATTCAGGTCTTCCACACAGGCGGTGGGAGCCCAAACATTTGTGCCTTCTGCTGTTGTTTTCCTAGGCACACTAGCAGGGAACTAGATCAGAAGTGAAATGGCTGGGACTCAGGACTCAAACTGGTGCTCATATTGGCATCACAAGAAGCTGCTTAAACCCGCTACACCTCAGCACCAGCCCCAATTTCCTTTCTTTTTGTAAGTGTTGTTAAAGACAATAGGTATAGAAAAGTAGAATAGTATGGTGAACCTCCATGAAGCTGTCACTCAGCTTCAATAATGTTTTGAATCTGTTTTCAAGGGCCCCACCCCCAGTTTTTTATTAGAATAATTTAGAGAAAACTCCAGGGGCAAGCATTTGGCCTAGTGGTTGAGACACCAGTTGGGACCTCACATCCCAAATTGAAGTGCCTGAATTTGAGTCCCAATCTTGCTCCCAATTCTAGTTTCTTACTGATGTGCACCCTGGAAGGTAGATGGTGATGACTCAAGTGCTTGAGTCCCTGACATCTGGTTGGGAGAACTGAATTAAGTTCTCAGCTCCCAGCCTCAGCCTGACCCAGTTCAGGCTGTTATAGGCATTTGGAGAGTGACCCAGCAGATGGGAGATTGCTTTCTACCTGTCCCTGTCTCTCTATTTCTTTCTCTATGTGTCTCAAATAAAGATAAAAGAAAATTCCAGACACTGTATGGTTTTATTTACCCCTTCTTTTAAAAAAATCAAATAACCAGTATATATGCAAATTTTTGTTTCAAAAATGTCTTTGCTTTTGACTTGTTTAACTCAGGATTCTAACAAAGTTCACACCTTGGAATTGGCTATGTCTCTTAAGTCTCTGTTTATTTGTGAGGCAGACTGAGCCCTCTCATCTGCAGATTTCATTCCCTAAATGCCCACAACAACTATGATTGTGTGGGACCAAAGACTGGAATCAGGAATATCAGGAATCAGTTGAGGTCTTCAACATTGGCACTAGGAATATAATTACTTGAGCCCTCCTCGTTGCCTCTCAGGGTCTATGTTACCGAAGCCAGAGCCAGGCATTGAAACAAGGCATTCCAATGCAGGAGGCAGGCATCTTGGCACCATCTGCACCATCTGCAGTGCCAGCATCCCATATGTGTGCTGGTTCGAGTCCCAGCTGCTCCACTTCCTGTCCAGCTCCCTACTAATGTGCCTGGGAAAGCAGCAGAAGATGGCCCAAGTTCTTGGACCCCTACACACATGTGGGGGACCCAGAAGATGCTCCTGGCTTTGGCCTGGCCCAGCCCTGGCTGTTGCAGCTACTTGGGGAGTGAACCAGTGGATGGGAGATATCTCTCTCTCCTTCTCCCTCTCTAACTCTGCCTTTCTGATAAATAAATAAATAAATAAATAAATAAATAAAAAACTTGGGGCTGGCACTGTGACGTAGTGGGTAAAGCTGCATCTGCAGTGCTGGCATCCTATATGAGCGCCAGCTCAAGTCCACTTCCCATCCAGTTCCCTGCTGATGCACCTGGGATAGCAGAGGAAGATGGCTCAAGTCTTTGGACCCCTGTACCTACATGGAATACACGGAAGAAGCTCCTGGCTTCAGATTGGCACAGCTCCGGCCGCCGTGGCCATCTGGGGAGTGAACCAGTAGATGGAAGACTCATGTGTGTGTGTGTGTGTGTCTGTGTTTGTGTTTGTAACTCTGCCTTTCAAATAAATAAATCTTTAAAAAAATAGAATCTTAAAAAGGTTTATTTATTTGAAAGTCAGTTACAGAGAGAGGGAGAGACAGTGAATGAGATCTTCCCATCTGCTGGTTCACTCTCCAGCTGGCTGGAACAGCCAGGTTAGGCACCATCTTAACTGTTATGATAACCACCTGTTACTCCTAAGTCTCTCTTTAATTTATGAATTTATGTCATTTGCTAAAGAAATAAAATTGTCATGTAGAATGTACTGCATTCTGAATTAGGTGACTACATTCTTGTTATATTTTGCATATTTGTCCTTTGTGTTTTCTGTGAACTAGTAATTAGATGTAGAGGCTTGATTACATTTAATTTCCATTCTTTTGATAAGAATTATTATAGAGGAAATGGCATTTGTTGCAGGGGTTAAGACGCTGCTTGGAATGCCCACATCCATACCAGAGTATCTGGGTTCAAGTCCTGACTGTGCTTCTGATTCCAACTACCTGCTAATGTGTACCCTGGGAGGCAGCAGATGGTGGCTCAAGTGTTTGGATCCCTGCCACCAGAGTTCCCAATTCTTGGCTTTAGCCTGGCCTAGCCCTGGCTGTTGGGTATATGGGGAGTATACCAGCAGATAGAAGATCTGTGTCCCTTTTTGTCTGTCTCTGTCTGTCTGCCTTTTAAATAAATAAAAAAATGAAAAAGAAGACATGAGAGATGATTGTATAGTATACTTTTCATTGTACTACATCAGGGAATTGTGTTGTCCCACTTCCAGTGGTGTTCAGGTGTGTCATCAGCTCTGGATCACCCTGATCTATCCACATGTAATTCTACCTCAGCCTTTGGCCTGGAGGTTGTGATCACTGCCTAGATTCATTAGAGGTTGCAAATGGTTAGGTTTTGGGTTCTTTTGTTTGTTTTTAGAGTTTGTTTATGTTTTTATTTATTTGAAAGGCAAAGTGATGGACTGGGGAGGGAGAGACATAGAAAGCCATAGGCCCCCAATAGCCTGGGCTGAGCCTGGAGCTTCATCCGGGTCTCCCATGTGAGTGGCAGGAATTCAAGTACTTGACCTATCACCTGCTGCCTCCCAGGATGCACGTTAGCAGGAGGTTGGTTCAGAACAGAGTAGCCAGTACTCAAAGCAGATTCTCCTATATGGGACACGGGCAACCCAAACAGTGACACCAGCCACAGTCTGAGTTTTTTTCTAATTATATCATTCCATTTATCATTAATCAGGAACAGTGTTTTTATAATGAAATTTTTTTCTTTAGTCATATTTAGCTATTCAGAAACACTTGGTACAAGGCAGGATAACTGGTTCTTTCCATTTATAATTTTTCAGAATTATGTGTGTGTGTCCTTAACAACCTAGCAAAGGTAATTAGTTTTTAAAATATCATTTTGGATATTTCATATTGGAGATATCAGTCTAAAAAGTGTATGTGTAGTGTTCATTTATCCCATTTTTAGCCATTGGAAATTTCTTCAAGTTGGTTGTTTTGTCTTTTGATTTAACATCTATCATTTTGATAGTTTTTTGGCTATCAAGCTCCTCTTATGAGGTTATAGGGTTTTTAATTTCTTTAATTTTTATATCAGTATCTATTTCATTAATATTGAAGATCTTAGTTCCATTATATTTTATTTTCTCTGATATCCTACCAGACCATGTAATTATGTTGCTTTTAAGCAATAAAGAACCAAAGTTAAGGAAGCATGCAACACAGTCTGCTGTCTTAGTGACTCAGTCTCTTTTTATTTTTGACAGGCAGAGTGGACAGTGAGAGAGAGAGAGAGGGAAAAAGGTCTTCCTTTTTGCCATTGGTTCACCCTCCAATGGCCGTCGTGGCCGGCGCGCTGCGGCCGGCGCACGGCGCTGATCCAAAGCCAGGAGCCAGGTGCTTCTCCTGGTCTCCCATGCGGGTGCAGGGCCCAAGCACTTGGGTCATAGCAGAGGGCTGGCCTGGAAGAGGGGCAACCAGGACAGAATCCAGCGCCAGGACTGAGACTAGAACCCGGTATGCCGGCGCCGCAAGGTGGAGGATTAGCCTATTGAGCCGCAGCACCGGCCTCTTTTTTCTTCTTTATAACCGTTTTACCAAATTCCTGTTGTGTGCCTCTTTAATATAAAAATATGCGTCTTTAACATAAAAATACAAAAAATGGAGCTGGCATTGTGCCATACATAGCAGGTTAAGCCATTGCCTGCGACTCCAGCATTCCATATGGGTGCTGGATCAAGTTCTGGCTGCTCCATTTAGATCCAGCTCCCTGCTAATGAGCCTGAGAAAGCAGAGGAAAGTGGCCCAAGTACTTGGGCCCCTGCCACCCACGTGGGAGACCCAGGTAGAGTTCTAGGCCCTTCAGCCTGGCCCAGACCCAGCCATTGTAGCCATTTGGGGAGTGAACCAGTAGATGGAAGATTCATATTCTCTCTCTCTCTCCCTCTCTCTTTCCCTCTGCACCCCCCCATCCATAACTCTACCTTTCAAATAAATAAATAAATCTTAGTTTAAAAACTTAGTTAAATGGCCTAATTTAGCACAAGGGTTGTAATTTACACAAGGGTTGACAGCCCTGGGGGCAGAGAGCTTTTCCTGCCGTGTCAGCAACAGTAGTGTTTAATCCATGTCTAACGTAATATTTTACACCAGGTAGAAACTCAAGTACTTATTTTTCATCCTAGATTTAGAAAACCTATTTAAGAGTAGGATTTCTGTAGACTGGAATCCTAAAAGAGCAGTGTCTCCAGAGGTTTTATATTGTCTGTGTTTACTTCTTCAGAGACTTGTTGGGGCTACATTCTCCAAACAGTGCTGAGTTCTGCCACACTTAGATAAGATCTGAATGTGACCATGAGTTCTGTTAATACAAAGGCCGTGAAGAGTTATAGTGCTGGTGCTTCTTTAACAGCAATAAAAATCTAACTTAGTTTACTTTTTTTTCTAGATGATGGGCATAAGAAAGCTCGAAATGCTTATCTTAATAATTCCAATTATGAAGAAGGAGATGAATATTTTGATAAAAACTTGGCACTCTTTGAGGTAATATTTGGGAGAAAACTCTGACGGAGACCTCAGGAACAGATATTTCAAAATAGCTGTTTACTCCATTTATTTTTAATTGTACCAGGTAGATAATGTAATAACTAATGTTAAAATACAGTAGTTATTATAACTTGTCATTGCAGTTAATTTTGTCTGTATAACCTAATTATATTAAAAAGGCATTTAATCAGATTTCTATAAGGTAAGGAAAGAATATAGATTTATGAAGTATGTACAGCCTAATTCACCTATAACTTAAATGTTTATATTGGGATAATATTCCTAAATATAAAGCAGTATATTTTCAAGCTTCTGTTTGCAAGAGTATCATTTACCTTAAAAATAAACAAAAAAAAATCACAGTAGGAAGCAGGATGCCATATTAAGAGGACCTATATGTCTTTTTTTAGTTGACAAATAAGACTTGTATATTTTTGTGGAGTGGAGTGTGATATATTGATGTATGTTTACATTGTAGGATGATTAAATCGAATTACCATATACTCATTTACTATTCATTGTGGTGAGAACATTTGAATTTTACTTTCTTAGCAATTTTGAAATATGCAGTACATTATTGTTGACTGTTGGTCTCAAAACATATTCCTCCTAAGTCTTTGTACCCTATGACTGACACCATATCTTTTCCCCATCCTCCTTTCTCCCTGCCTCTGACTCCGTGAGTTTAATTTTTTAACTTCCACACTTAAATGTGCCCATGCAGTATCTGTCTTTTTGTGCCTGGCTTGTTTCATTTAGTATAATGAAGAGGATCTGTTACCTGACTACAACAACATGGACTTTGATGGAGTCTGGTTGTTGAAAGGTGACTGGTTTAGTCCGTCAATTCCTTTGTCTGGCTTTAGACAGTGATTCAAGTTCCACTTCACTCAATGCCTGTGTTTTTTAAATACTTTCACTTTATTCAAGGAAAAGTCTAATGTGAAGATTTAGATCAGTTGTAAAGTTCTTTCCCAACCTGTCCATGCTCCATGTTGTAAATAAAGTCTTATGTATTAGTAAACAAAAAAGGGGAGGCCACTATAGTTAAGGATCTTATTACCAGTGTTTTTCACAGGTTGCTCTAAGGACCAATAATTTGTTTTTCTAAAGTTACATAGCTGTTAGAAAGAGAAATGAAAATTTTCATTGAAAAATCTTGTGGTCAGGGACTAGATGTTTAACCTAATGTTTAATATGCCCACATCCCATATCAGAGTACCTGGGTTTGATTCTCTGCTCTTAAAAAAAAAAAAAAAAAAAGATTTATTTATTCATTTGAAAGTCAGAGTTACAGAGAGAGAATATATCTTCCATTTGCTGTTTCACTCCCCAAATGGCTGCAACAGCTAGAGCTGGGCCATTGGGAAGCTAGGAGCCAGGAGCTTCTTCTAGGTCTTCCACATCGGTGCAGGAGCCCAACACTTGGGCCTTCTTCTACTGCTTTCCCAGGCCATAGCAGAGAGCTGGATCAGAAATGGAGCAGCCAGGACTTGAACTGGCACCCATATGGGATGCCAGCTCTGCAGGTGGCAGCTTTACTCGCTACGCCACAGCACAGGCCCTTGATTCTCTGTTATTGAAACTGATTCGAGCTTCCTGCCAAAGAAGACTGTATGAGGCAGTAAATATAGCTGAAATAATTGGGTTCTGTCCACCCATGTGGGAGACCTAGATTGTGTTCCCAGCTATGGCTGTTACCATTGTACAGAGTGTCTCTCTCTCTTTCTCTCTTTCTCTCTCTCTCTCTTCCCCCCTCCTCTCCCTCTCCCTCTCCCTCTCTCAAACAAATTTAGGTAGAAAAAAAGAATTTTGTTATCATAAAATATCATGATGTTCCTCAAAAAATTAAAAATAGAACTACCATATGATTCAGCCGTACCACGACTCGGTATTTATTCAGAAGTGAAATCAGTGTGTCGAAGAGATACCTGCACTTCTGCATTCATGGCAGCACTATTCACAACAATCAAGACAACAAACCTTTCTAAGTGTCCTTCAAGATATGAATGGATAAAGAAAATGTTGAATATTTATGTGGTAGAACAACATTTCACCTTTAAAAAGAAGATAACCCTGACATTTGCAAGAACCTGGGTGAACCTGGAGGGCATTATATTACGTCAAGTAAGAAGGCACAGAAACACAAATGTGGCATGGTCTCACTTAATTGTGGATTCTTAAAATGTTGAGCTCATAGGGAGTAGAATGGTAATTATGGGGTAAGAGGGTAGGCGCCAGAGGAGGGAATAAGGTGATGTTAGAGTACAAGGTTTCACTTAGGAGGAATACATTTTTTATATTTGTTATACAGCACAATGTAGTTAATTTATACTTGAAAATTGCTAACAAAGTAGATTTTAAATGATCTTAGCTACAAAAAATTAAGTATTTAAGGGGCTGGTATTGTGGCACAGTGGGTTAAGCTGCTACTTGGGATGCCTACATCCCCTATCAGAGTGCCTGGGATCAAGTCAGACCTCTGCTTCCAATCCAGCTTCCTGCTAATGCACCTGGGAAGCAGCAGTTGGTGACTCCAGTGCTTGGGTCCCTACCACCCACGTGGGAGACCTGAATGGAATTCCTGGCACCTGGATCTTAGCTCCTGGCTTTGACTTGGACCAACCCCAGCTCTTACAGCCATTTGTCAAGTGAACCAGCAAACTGAAGATCTCTGTCTCTCCCTCTCTCTGTCATTCTGCCTTTCAAATAAACAAATAAACTTACTTTAAAAAACAAGTAATTGAGAGATATGGTAATTCACTTGATGTGATCATTTTGCATTTTATATATTTATAAAATCAAAAAATCATGTATGCTACAAATATATATATAACTTTTTTTTAAATAAAGATTTATTGATTTGAAAGGCAGAGTTATAGGGTAGTGGGAGAGAGAAAGATCATCCATCTATTGGTTCATTCCCCAGATATAGGCCAGGCTGAAGCGAAGAGCCTGGAACTCCATCCAGGTTTCCCATATGAGTGCAGGAGCCTAAGTACTTGGGCCATCTTCTGCTTTCCACATACATTAGCAGGGAACTAGATCAGAAGTGGTGCAGATGGGACTCAAACAAGCACTCATATGGGATGCTGGCTTTGCAGGCTGTAGCTTAACCACAAAGCCAGCCCCATATAACTGTTACCAGTTTTATATATATATATATATATATATATATATATATATATATATATATGTATATATATATATATGAATGAAAGAGAGCAAGGATTCGTGATGTCCTGATTTTGACTTTTTTTAATGTAGAAGAATTAAGTGTCATTAATTTTCTTAAAATTTTTACCTATGAAATATTTTCTCATTGTACAGTGTTCTGGGAGAAAGGTTATTTTGATGCTTGCTTTCAGTGTTTTTCGTAACTCATTTCTTCCATGCTTCTGGCTTTGTAGGAAGAAATGGACACCAGACCAAAAGTGTCTTCTCTCCTCAATCGCATGGCCAATTACACAAATCTGACACAAGGAGCAAAGGAACATGAAGAGGCAGAAAACATCACTGAAGGGAAAAAGAAGCCCACCAAGGTGAGACATCAGAATGATAAGGATAAATAAAAAGGCTCCACAAATCCAGGGCATCACTGCTCATCCAGTGACTTAGAGACTTGCTACATGCCTGGTGCTGCTCTGTTACTGGGGTCCTAGCATACGCTGAACATTCAGAGCCCTGGCTGCCAAGCAGCCTCAATTCTAATATGAGAAGATGATCATTAAGCTCTTATTAAGTGTTGATAACTACTGTAGCAAAAACTTATGCAGAGTAAACAGACTATCACTGGCAAGGATGCCAAGTGGAGGGGTCGCCACATTTGACAGAGTGGACAGAGACAGGACTAGGTGATACTTGAAGAGAACCCTAACTAATGTGAGGGAGTGAGCCTGTGAGAGGAGAGCACTGTAAGAGGAGAGCCTTTTGAAGATATTTATTTAACTTGTTATCTCTTCCTTGAGATTTTTGGTAATTAGGGAGCAAGTTTTTATGTAACAGTAAAAAATAAAAGCATCTCTTCTGGATGACTGTATAATTTTTTCTGTCGACCTCTTTTCTTCCCAGACCCCCCAGATGGGTACTTTCATGGGTGTCTACCTCCCCTGTCTACAAAATATTTTTGGAGTGATCCTCTTTCTACGCCTTACATGGGTGGTCGGCACTGCTGGAGTTCTTCAGGCCTTTGCAATCGTCCTCATCTGCTGCTGCTGTGTAAGTCCCCTGTTGGCTCCTGGAGTTAACCTGGAATCTTTCAAGTTCTCATCAGTATGTGCACACGACCTCTTGTTGAATAAAACAGCATTTGGGAAGATTCATAATCTCAAGAGAGATTCTGATATTAAAATTTGAAGGATTTTCAGTTATTTAATGCCTGTTCCCTGTCTGCTATCTCTTATATGAAGTACTAGAAGTTACAAAACAAGATTTCAACCGGAAGTAGAAGATAAAGTTCTATCTTCAAAGAATTTAAAAGTCCAAACCATTTGAGCATAATAGCATCAAATTTGTGACAATCTGTTAGAAAATGTAATGCATTAACTACAGTACTTATTGAGAACCAAAACAGAGCTACTTACGAGGTAGACTATTGGTTTGTTTTTTGTTGTTTTGAAGTCCCCTTAGCCCTTTCCTCAAGATTCAGTTGTTCTTTGTAGGTTTTCTCTCCACTTGCTGCGTACATTCTGATGGTCCTTTAATTTTAACTCCTCCTGTTTGTGTATCTCAGTCACATCTATTGGTTTATCATAGATTTCTACTGCCCTCTTTCATTACTATCACATTCTACCCTCCTTTTACATTGTTTTTAGCTGAAAGCCATACAAATGAGGTTTGACATAGCCCATATCAATAATAGCTGAAAAATCAAGGCTCCATGTTTTCTTTCTCAGTTTCTCAGGCTTGAAACTTCAAGGGCATACTTTGGCTCCTTGATTGCCTCTCAGCCTAATCAGTTACCAAGGCTAATCCATTCTCTGTGAAATCTCTTACATTCCACCCTATCATTTTATTCTCCCTACTCCCACTGTAATTTGAAACTTGTCATTGAACTACTTTAATATCCTACTGACCAGTACCTCTGAATCCAGCTACTCCCTGTCTGCACTGCTTTCTGTCCTATAGTACCAGACAGTATTTTAAACTATACTTACATGATCAGAAGTCTTCCAAGGTTCCCTCTCTTAATGAATATTATTCTGGTATCACAGTTAATCTTTTGTCAGGATTTTACCTATTTTCTGAGTTTCTTATTAATTCATTACTTCCTTTTCAATGTAATATGCTTTCTTTCCTATTTAACTAGGACCCAGAGTGAGATCAGCAGTTCTTAATAGCAGCAAATTTACTGATTGCAATGTGGGAACATTTTAGCAGAATCCTGCAGATGATATTGGTGGTTCATGCAGTGAACTGGAGCACATTATCTGATTTCAGGCCATTAGGTTTGACATAAACTGTTCATCAAAGTAGGTAGAGTCAAATTTTTGAAAACTGCTCTGAGGTCTGCAGGAGGGAAATAGTACAGAAATGTCTTTCCATCAGTGACAATCTTCTCTCCCTTTCTCTGCAGACAATGTTGACTGCTATCTCCATGAGTGCCATTGCCACTAACGGAGTGGTGCCAGGTCAGTTGGTCAAGGTTGGATTTCAGGGGTTGTCAATGATTATTGTGTGTTTATGCCACAAAGGCCAAGGCGCAAACTTCCAAGGAACAGAATACCAAAGTAATAGACTATAGGACATAGACATTAATACTATTAATTATTAATACTATTTGGCATTAAGATAGCTTCTTTAAAATCTGCCTATTTCCTAAACTTAGAAGTCTTTTCATTTCAGTTATGTTCTTAGTTTAAATTTTAGTTAGAATGTATTTGAGTGGAAGGCTGTCTCATGCCTATAGTAAATATTCTTTGATTTTTTTTTTTTTTTGACAGAGTGGACAGTGAGAGAGAGAGAGACAGAGACAGAAAGGTCTTCCTTTGCCGTTGGTTCACCCTCCAATGGCCACCGCGGCCAGCGCACCACACTGATCCGAAGGCAGCAGCCAGGTGCTTATCCTGGTCTCCCATGGGGTGCAGGGCCCAAGCACTTGGGCCATCCTCCACTGCACTCCCAGGCCACAGCAGAGAGCAGGCCTGGAAGAGGGGCAACCAGGACAGCATCCAGCGCCCGGACTGGGACTAGAACCCGGTGTGCCGGCGCCGCAAGGCAGAGGATTAGCCTGTTGAGCCGCGGCACCGGCTCTTTTCTAATATTAGCTACATGTGTTTTGTGATGTTTTACATATGTGGCATATTCTACAAAGAAGGTTTTATCTTTTTTTTAAGATTTATTTATTTGAAAGATAAAGAGTTACAGAGACAGAGAGGTTTTCCATCCTGTGGTTCACTGCCCAAATGGCCTCCATGGCTGGGGCCAGGCTAGACCAAAACCAGGGGCTAAGAGCTTCCCCTGGGTCTCCCACATGGGTACAGGGGCCCAAGCACTTGGGCCGTCCTCCATTGCTGTCCCAGGCACATTAGCAGGGAGCTGGCCTGAAAATGGAGCAGCACTAGCACCCATATGGGATGCGGCAGCTTAACCCACAGTGCCGGCCCCTTATTTTATTTGTTTTTCTTTCTCTCTCTCTCTCTCTTTTTTTTTTTTTTTTCAAAAGACCTTGGCCAACTAACTTGAGACCCAACACTAAGCCCTGGCTGTTTGCAGTCCACCGTCAGGGAAGCTGGGTGCAGCAGGCAGAGCCTTTCTACAGGGAGGGCAGAGGCAGGCTGAGTGGGTCCCTGGCAGTGTTCAGAGCCAGCCAGGCTCCAAACAGGGGCCTAAGTGGTTTTTATGGGACATTCTACTTGTCCAAGTCAACACAATTGAGCTTCAAAGTGAGAAACAATTCACAGAATTGTCTCTCTCTCTCTCTCTTTCTCTCCCCCCACCCCCCGCATCTGCCTCTAACTCTGCCTTTCAAGTAAATAAATAAGTCTTTAAAATTTTTTTAAAAGTGTATTTGAAGGCAGAGTTATGGGGTGGGGGGAGGGGAGGGACAGAAGTCTCCCATCCCTTGATTCACTCCCTAAATAGCCTCATCAGCCAGGGCTGGGCTGGGCTTGGCTGAAGCTGGGACCCCAGATCTTCTGGATCTCCCATGTGGGTGCAGGGACCAAAGGACTTGGGCCATCCTCTGCTGCTGCTCTCCTAGGTGAATTGGCAGGCAGCTGGATTGGAATGGAGCTGCCAGGAATTGAACTGGTGCCCTTATGGGATTCAGGCTTTGTAGGCAGTGGTTTTATCTGATACACCTGCAACACCAGTCCCTCATTCAGGATATTTTGAAGCCTAAAAAACATCCTTCATGCATATTTTTGTTGTGTGTGTCTTGTTTACATGTTTCTTATTAACACACTCACTCTATCCTGTTCACCTTCTATTTTATCTTGTAGCTGGGGGCTCATACTTTATGATTTCCCGAGCTCTGGGTCCAGAGTTTGGTGGCGCTGTTGGCCTCTGCTTTTATCTTGGTACCACATTTGCAGCAGCCATGTATATCCTTGGGGCAATTGAAATTTTTCTGGTAAGTACTTTATTATTTGTGGTCTGCAATATAGAAGAGTTAGATTTGGGTTTAATCCGTTCTTTGATATGAATGCTTCTGAGAGGTCACCTATAGGAATCCATCTGGTGATTGACTCTAATCTGTTACTGGCCTCTTACTGTGAATATAAGGCAGAAAGGTTGAGGTATCCTTTGTCTAACTCTTTCCTTCCACTCTATTACTGCCACTCTCCCTTGGATGTAACACTTCTCTCAATGAGGAAAAAGGAAAACAAAATTTACTTTCTTTGAGACCTTTATCTCAATGAAATAAAATGTTTTTCATTTCCATATTCACTGGGATGTGTTTTTTTTTACAATTTAAAATAATGATAACAGAGCAGGACTCAGGATAATTATAATTTTATATAACACTGAATAAAATTAATTCCCTTTTTTCTCTGTTTTGAAATGTAATCTTAAAGAATAGCACATGGGGGGAAAATATCTATGACATCCCATTTTGGTAGGCATTCCAAATCCTAACAGGAATTCAGCTAATTCTCCAGCCATTTGTTATATGCTTTCCTTTGTGAAAGCAAATGTAAACTGTTTCAGCCTTTCCCTTTGATTATTTTGAAATTACATCATTTTCCTGTTCTTTCATCTAACAGGTATATATTTTTCCCCGGGCTGCCATCTTTCGCAGTGAGGATGCACTCAAGGAATCAGCAGCCATGCTTAATAACATGCGTGTCTACGGCACAGCTTTCTTGGTTCTCCTGGTATTGGTGGTATTCATCGGTGTGCGCTATGTGAACAAGTTTGCCTCTCTTTTCCTGGCCTGTGTCATTGTGTCCATCTTGGCCATCTATGCTGGAGCCATCAAGTCGTCTTTTGCCCCTCCACACTTTCCGTATGTGTCTGCCTTTTTGCTTAGCCATCATTATAGGAAGCCATTGATGTATCTGCTGGTGTGCTAATTTCAATCTGAATTTCAGTGTCTAAGATTGGCCTCCTAGGCCAGCGCCACGGCTCAATAGGCTTATCCTCTGCCTGCAGCACTGGCACCCTGGGTTCTCGTCCCAGTTGGGGTGCAGGACTCTGTCCCGGTTGCTCCTCTTCCAATCCAGCTCTCTGCTGTGGCCCGGGAGTGCAGTGGAGGATGGCCCAGGTCCTTGGGCCCTGCACCCCATGGGAGACCAGGAGAAGCACCTGGCTCGTGGCTTTGGATCAGCGTGGTGCACCGGCCGTAGCAGCCATTTGGGGGGTGAACCAACAGAAGGAAGACCTTTCTCTCTGTCTGTCTCTCTGTCTCTCTCTCACTGTCTAACTCTGCCTGTCAAATAAATAAATAAATAAATAAATAAATAAAGATTGGCCTCCTAGATAAGCCCAGCTAGCGAACAGGCAAGAAGCCTCTTGTTAAACACTGTCATGTGAATCTTGCTCCTATGTCCCAGCATAGAACCAGCAGCTGTAACCCTCATTTGATACAGATAGTAGGTTTTGTTCCTCTGATACCAATTATACATATTTTCACTAAGGGCTTTACAGTGTAGTTATAGCTAGCAACCTTTGTAAGATATTTAAATGCTGGATTCCTTTTATTAATGAAAAATCAAGAGAGTCAAAAGAAACCTAAATTCTTATGTGAATTTTTAAAATAATTGCATTTTTTATTCTTTTTTTTTTTTTTTTTTTTGACAGGCAGAGTGGACAGTGAGAGAGAGAGAGACAGAGAGAAAGGTCTTCCTTTGCCGTTGGTTCACCCTCCAATGGCCACTGCGGCCAGCGCACTGCGGCTGGCGCACCGTGCTGATCCGTGCTTCTCCTGGTCTCCCATGGGGTGCAGGGCCCAAGGACTTGGGCCATCCTCCACTGCACTCCCGGGCCACAGCAGAGAGCTGGCCTGGAAGAGGGGCAACCGGGACAGAATCCGGCGCTCTGACCGGGACTAGAACACGGTGTGCTGGTGCCACAGGCGGAGGATTAGCCTATTGAGCCACGGCGCCAGCCGCATTTTTTATTCTTAGTAGCATAATGGACTGTCTTTTGTTTTTTTAAGATTTATTTATTTGTTTGAAAGAGTTACACAGAGAGAGAAGGAGAGACAGAGAGAGAGAGAGGTCTTCCATCTGCTGGTTCACTCCCCAATTGGCCGCAATGGATGGAGCTATGCCGATCTGAAGCCAGAAGCCAGGAGTTTCTTCTGGGTCTCCCATGTCGGTGCAGGGACCCAAGGACTTGAGCCATCTTCTGTTGCTTTCGCAATTCATAGCAGAGAGCTGGATCGGAAGTGGAGCAGCCGGGACTCGAACTGGCATCCACATGGATGCCGGCACTGCAGGCGTTGACTTTACCCACTACGCCACAGTGCTGGCTCCAAAATGTAAATATTATAAAAGCACCATTCTGGTTACATCTCAATTTGGGAAATTCCATTTGCCTCACATTCTCCTTTGCTTATCCTCTTCTTTCTTGGTTGGTAAACAGTCATTATATATGGTACTTTCTTTAAAATGTTCCGGCAAAGCAAGACTAAAAACCTAGAGGAATGCACAAAACAACTCTGAAAAATATTGAGAGTTGTTTAAGCTGAGTAATAGTTGCATGGTTCATTATGTATGTGTACAGCCAGGTTGCAGATTTTAAAAGTTGCCTTGTTCCTACTGAGAGGTATTTTACTGTGGTTGTATTATTTCTTTGTTCATATTTATGATTCTGGGTTAAAGAAGAAAATAAAACAAGAAGTTATTATTTGTATTATCCTTAAATACCCTCACTCCCACTGGGTCTAGGCTGAAGTTCAAAAGCTGTTTTCTCTTGGGCCATGAAGGGATGTGCTTTTCAGTTTTAGCCACACTGCCTTCCTCACAATAGTAGCCAAAATGTTTGACCTTTAGCACGCCATTTTCAAGGGGTTTGTTATGAATATAAGGAATTTTAGGCAAAAAAAAAAACAATGATAATAAGGACATTTTAAAAATAAGAACAGAATGACTCCAGGATGCTTATAGAACCAGCAGTTCTTTAATTTTCTAAAAATTTGAAGGATGAATCAGCTCAGTTGTCATTGGAAAGCTCATGTGTTTGAATTCTGTCTTTGCCACCTACCACCTGTACGGCCTTGGGCAGAATACTATAACTGTCTAAATTGTAATTCTTCATAGACAAAATAGAAAAATATTAATATTAACATTATGAGATCACTGTAAGGATTTAATTAACAGAAAATATAACTCACCATTCACAATGGTAGTTAATAAATATTAGTTCCTTCCCACCCATGAAAACAAAAGCTCCCAGAGATATTTTGTGGGAGGGTGCTTTCCTAACCTATTACCTTTTTGAAAAATGTATTTTCTTTTTCTTCTTTGATCTTTCTCCTTATTTATCTTCACTTAGGGTCTGCATGTTAGGTAACCGTACTCTTTCTTCAAGACACATCGATGTTTGCTCTAAGACCAAGGAAGTTAACAACATGACAGTTCCATCAAAGTTATGGGGCTTCTTCTGTAACTCAAGTCAGTTTTTCAATGCCACCTGTGATGAATACTTTGTTCACAATAATGTCACTTCAATTCAGGGCATTCCTGGATTGGCTAGTGGTATCATTACAGGTAAGTTCTCTGAGGAAAATGGGTTTTGTTTTCTTAACCTCTTAACGTTGTCCATGAAGTCTTGGTGCCCCTTTCCTCCTTCAGATCAACACACAGCTCTTAGTTCAACAATTTCTGCTTTTCTGTTAGTACCATTATCTTTATTTAGGACTGCCTTGCAGAGTGTTGTCTTTTTCTTGCATTGACATCTGGAATAGAATTTTTTTTTTTTTTTTTGAGAGGCAGAGTTAGCAAGAGTGAGCTTCCATCTTCTGGTTCAATCCCCCAACGCTGGAGCTGGGCCAATCCAAGCCAGGAGCCAGGAGCGTCTTCCAGGTCTCGCACATGTGTGCAGGGGCCCAAGCACTTGGGCCATCCTCCATTGCTTTCCCAGCCATTAGCAGAGAGTTGGATTGGAAGTGGAGCAGCCGAGACTCAAACCGGTGCCCGTATGGGATGCCAGCACTGCAGACAGAGGCCTAACCTACTACACCACAGTGCTGGCCCCAAATAGAACTATTTTCATGCGAGTACATCCACATGTGTGTTTCCCTAAGAGCTAAATTCCTGAAACTCTTTAAGTAACATCTGTCTTAAGTGTCTTGGTCCTCAAATGTCATTGCACATAAGCCAGTTCACATTAATGAGTTAGAAATAGCGTTGTTATAGATTGTGGATTTTTTTAAAAAGATTTATTTTATTTATTTGAAAGGCAGAGTTACAGACAGAGGTAGAGTCAGAGAGAGAGGTCTTTCATCCGTTGGTACACTCCCCAGATGGCTACAACAGCCAGAGCTGCGCCGATCCGAAGCCAGGAGCCAGGAGTTTCTTCTGGATCTCCTACGTGGGTGCAGGGGCCCAAGGACGTGGGCCATCTTCTACTGCTTTCCCAGGCCATAGCAGAGAGCTGGATCGGAAGAGGAGCAGCCAGGACTAGAACCGGAGCCCATATGTGATGCCAACGCTTCAGACCAAGGCTTTAACCCACTGTGCCACAGCGTCGGCCCTGGATTGTGGATTGTAATAATGGATTGTACAGGGAATTCAGCTTTAGTCTGCTTAATTTCTAATAACTTGCATTAGTAAAGTTAACTGCATTCACGTGTGCCATAGCATTTTTTCCAAGTATATTTTAACTAAATGAGAAAGGTTTTATGTTTTCATTTACGTGTGCTTTGTTGTGCAGCACATACAAGTGTGTGTACATGTGCTCGTGTGGAAGAAGCAGAAATCCCTTTATAAACTATGTAAACGAGAAAGCTGATTTTGAATACTGTTTGAGTAGAAATGATCTGATTATCTTCTTTCCATATTGCTGCTGCTTATATTATCTTTCTTCCCCACTGCAGAAAATCTTTGGAGTAATTATTTACCTAAAGGAGAGATTATCGAAAAGCCCTCAGCCAAATCATCTGATGTCCTGGGCAGCTTAAACCATGAATACGTCCTTGTCGACATCACCACCTCCTTCACTCTCCTGGTGGGGATCTTCTTTCCCTCTGTCACAGGTAAGCTGAGGCGCTGCTCTCTAGTTTAGAAACTGTGAGACCCAGGGAGTTGTTTGACTCAGGAGACAGAATTATGTTCTCAGGGTTTCACGCTGTGTCTCTAGATTTTGGTAATTGCATGAATACCAAAGTGCCCAGGAACTCAAAAATTAACTTATTTTTCCTCCTGTCCACAGGGATCATGGCTGGATCAAACAGATCTGGAGATCTGAAGGATGCCCAGAAGTCCATTCCCATCGGCACTATCCTTGCCATTCTGACCACATCCTTTGTCTGTATCCTTTTCACAGATCTAGTCTGAGCCTGAGTCATGGGAACATCTAGTAGAACTAGAGTGATGGTGGGGTTCTTACCCTGGTAATAAAGATAACTGCTTTCTACCACCTAATTCTTGCCAGATAAACCTTGTGTACAAAATTCAATAAGGAATTTATAGATTTAGCATATTTAGCATCTCATTTTACTGTTAGAAGAAATATCCCAAGTGTCTACTTTCTATCATGTCAGAGGGTAAACAGCCGTTTCCTTGACTCTCGGTATGGTAGATTTAAGCAATGTCGTCCTTTTTGGTGCTTGTATTGAAGGGGTTGTGCTCAGAGACAAGTAAGTGATTAATTTCGTTATAATAATCTGTCTTCTGTAACATCTGATCATCGCACTTGGCTCCAACACAGTTGGAATGTCAGAAATCTAACCTGAGGTTTTAATCATGATTAACAATTAGAATATATAATGCGCCAAAAGGCTAGTGAATAATAAGGGCCAGTATGTTGTTATAAATATATGAGATGCAGTGAATATAGCTGTTCAAAAAAAAACAGCGAATTTGAATAGTGAGGATTTCCTTGTATATTAGAAACTGTTGGAAAACTAGGCAAAAAGGAAGACAAGTTAATAAAGTTCAAACCTTTGAAATATCTCTAGCTTCTTTATGAGACAGAATTATCTAATTCAGTTTGGCATTCTGAATAAAAGCCTGAAACTTACTTTCTTCATTTCCTTTAGGAAGGCTACTGAATATGTTTTTCCTTTCCTCTCACCTAGGAGTATAAAATATGTTTGGCAAGAGATTTCTAGGCAAATACTTACCCAGAACCTGCTGCTTCTCCTCAGATGTTCTGTGTCTTGGTTAATGCCTCACCATTCATCCCTCTCAAATCAGAATCAGTCTCACTCTAGACATTTCCCATCAGCTGCCTCATCCAGTTGATGCCTAAGCCCTGTATATGTCACCTTTCAGCCCTGATCTCACTTTCTCTTCTGTTTATCACCATCACTTTGTGAAGGCCCTCAGGATATTTTGCCTACATTACTGTCATCATTTCCCTTCCTGTTTACCATCTTCTAATCCCCCCACATTGCCCCCAGATAGCTTTTTCTAAAACACAAAATGTTTCAGACAAACCTCTCTGCTTAAGAGCCTGCCTACGCTCCTTAAAAACCCATCACTTTTGGCCGGCGCCACAGCTCCCTAGGCTAATCCTCTGCCTTGCGGCGCCGGCACACTAGGTTCTAGTCCCAGTCGGGGTGCCGGATTCTGTCCCGGTTGCCCCTCTTCCAGGCCAGCTCTCTGCTGTGGCCAGGGAGTACAGTGGAGGATGGCCCGAGTACTTGGGCCCTGCACCCCATGGGAGACCAGGATAAGTACCTGGCTCCTGCCATTGGATCAGCGCAGCGCGCTGGCCATGGCGGCCATTGGAGGGTGAACCAACGGCAAAGGAAGACCTTTCTCTCTGTCTCTCTCTCTCACTGTCCACTCTGCCTGTCAAAAGAAAAAAAAATCACTTTGATCTGGCCATGTCTGCTCTTTGTTCTGTAACTCCCACCATTCCTTCCTAGATTGTGTGTTCTAGACATAATCTTGAGTTAAAGGTACCTTGTTATTTCAAACCTCCAACCATCACACATTTGGCAGACTCACATTCATCCTCTAAAACTAGGCTAAGTACCTTCTCTCCTCTAGAGCTATTGCAGACTTACCTAACCACTCCTCCCTCTGTTCAGCCACCGTATTTGAACATGCTATGTTATTGTACTCCCCATACTACATTGCAGCTACTCATTTTCAGATTATTCTCCCCTACTAGGTTGACTCTTGTGAGAATAGGAAGCCTAATAGATGCAGTATAAATACTGTTAACAAAACAAGTAGCACACTGTATATGTGTGTATGTATGTGTGTGTATGTATGTATGTGTGTTACAAGTAGCATAGTATATATACGTGTGTGTGTGGAATAGTATAGTATGATACTATTCATGTATTAATAGAGAATTATATATCAGAATAGCAATGATTTTTAAATATACTGTAGTGGAAAATATAGATTTATGGAACTCTGGTAAATTATACCATATTATAAAAATTGTTGAGAATGTAAGTTGGAATGTGCTTTGGAAAACAATTGGTCATTATCTCCTAAAGTTGAACGTGCACCTCTCTGTAACTCGGCAGTTCCACTTCTGGGTATATCCAACAGAAATACTTGCGTGTGTATATCAAGAGTCACACACAGGGAACAGATGTTGTGGTACAGCAGGTTAAGCCACTCCACAGGATGCCCACATCCCGTATCCAAGTGCCTGGTGTTGAGGACTGTCTCCACTTCCAACTCAGCTTCCTGCTGAGGCATCCTGGGAAGCAGCAGATGATGGCTGAAGTGCTCTGGGGCCCTGGCACCCATGTGAGAGACCCAGATGGAGTCCTAGTCTCATGGCTTTGACCTGGCCCGCCCCTGGGGAATGAACCATCAAATGGAAGAGCTCTCTCTTTCTCTCTACCTCCACTCACCTCTTCTTCTCTCTTTCACTCTTACTTTGCCTTTCAAATATATGGAAATATTTTAAAACAACAACAAAAACACTAATACATGGGGCATGCATTTGGTGCAGAGGTTAAATTGTGATGCCCACATCCCATATCAAAGTGCCTGCATTCGAGTCCCGGCTCCACTTCCTATTTCAGCTTCCTGCACCCTTGGAGACACAGGTAATGGCTTGAGTGCTTGGGTCCCTGCCACCCAGAAGTGATATTCTGATTTATTTTGGACTCCTGACTTCTGTCTGCCCAGCCCCAGCTATTACAATTGAAGGAGTGAAAGCTGGTGAAGATCTCTTAGTCTCTCTCTGTTTTTCTGCTTTTCAATTAAAAAACAAAATAAAGAACAACAAAGGAATCATACAGAAGACAGAGTAGACATTTAGCCAGCTCCTGGCTCTAGCTTCCTACTGATGCAAACCCTGGGAGGCAGCAGTGATGGCCAAGTAATTGAATTTCTGCCACCCACATGGTAGGCTTTCATTGAGTTCCCAGCCCTAGCTTTGTTTCAGTCCTGGCAAAAGAGTCTTTGCAGGCATTTGGGGAGTGAACCAGGGATGGGAGCTGTCTTTTCTATCTTCAAATTAGTAAATACTACCAAAAAGAAAAACATGCACAAGAATTTCATAGTAGTAGAGTTCTTTTTGTTTAATGTTTATTTTTATTTATCTGAAAGGCAGAGAGACAGTAATTGAGTTCCTGCCCCTCATGGGGGATACCTGAATTGCGCTTATGGCTCCTGACCTTGGTATCAGCCCAGACCCAGCTGTTGTGGGCATTTGGGGAATGAACCAGTGGATGGGCCCTGTCTGTCTCTTTCTCTCTCAAATAAATAAATTTAAAATCTAACATCAGATTTAAAGAGAAGAAAATGTATAACCTTCCTGGAAAGCAGTTTGGTAGTGACTTTTAAGGTTGAGATGTTTTAAAGTATTGAGCCTTTTTGGAACAAGTAGGCGTTTGCCATAAGGAAAAATAGTCTTAAGTGTGAATGTAGCTATGGCATGAAGATGTTAGTTGTGTTTAGTATAGCAGACAACCAACACTGGAAGAATGGATCCATGTAAAATACAATGTAATATTATTCAAACCACTGAAATTTATTCATAGTTTTCTTGACACAGGAAAATGCATGTGCTTTAAAAGAATACAGAATTACAGGTGCAGTGAGATCACGTGTTTTAAAAAACAATAAATAGACTAAAATATGCAAAGTACACAAAATGTTAAGATTGTGGATTTACTTTCCTATTTTTATTAAGATTGACTTATTTATTTGAAAGGCAGAGAGAGTGAGAGAGATCTTCCGTCTGCTGATTCACCCCTCAGATGACTGAATGAAAGAAACTGGGACTGAGCCAGGCCAAAGCCAGGCACCCAGAGCGCCTATCCGGGTCTCCCACATGGGTAACAGGGACCCAAGCACTCAAGCCTGCTTTCCCAGGTGCATTAGCAGAGAGCTAGTCAGAAGTTGGGCACCCTGGACTCGAACTGGGTCTTACATGGGATGCCAGTTGCAGGTGGTGACTTAACATGCTGCACAACACTAGCACCCCATTTCCTGTTTTTCCCCCTTTCTTTGTATTTTTCTCTGATTTTCCAATTTGTCTCCAAAAGGAGATCTCTTGATTATCTGAAGGGGAAATCTGTAATTGATGCTTAGCTTATTTTCCAATCTTACAGGTTATTTTTTCTTAATACAGGTCAAAAGTGCCTTTTTTTTTTTTTTTTTTTTTTTTTTTAAATATGAGAGGCAGAGAGACAAAGATTTCCAGTACACTGGTCCATTCCCCAAGTGCCCAGAACATCCAGGGCTGAGCTGGGCTGAAGTCTTGAGCCAGGAACTCAACCCAGGTCTCCCAGGTGGGTGGCAGGAACCCAACCACTAGAGCCATCACTGATGCCTCCCAAGGTTTCAATCAGGACTTTGGAATATGGAGTCAGAGCTGAGAATCAAACCCCCAAACGCTGATACCACATTAAACATTTTAACTAGTGTCTTCACTGTAGGCCAGATGGCCATTATAGCAGTGCCTTTGATCAAATCTATCTTTACATTTCTTAATTTTCAAATCTGTCTCAATTTTGATTCCCTAAAAAGTATGAATTGGAAAATATTGAATGAACATCTCTCTAATCTTTCTGTCTAAAGTTACTTCCAGGTTAAATGTCCCTATTGTTTCTTCTCCAGGTTTGGGGATGCTGTGAAAGGTAATTTGGTGGTAGGCACCTTATCTTGGCCATCCCCATGGGTAATTGTTATTGGCTCATTCTTTTCAACGTGTGGGGCTGGACTTCAGAGCCTCACAGGTGCACCCAGGCTGCTACAGGCCATTGCCAAGGATAACATCATTCCATTTCTAAGGGTGAGTGACCTGTTCTATGCCCTCTTTTTTTCCCAGGTTTTATGAAAAATAATGTGGTCTTTGTGAGCTTAGGAATTAATTACTAGATCGTAAGTGTGGAGACATGAGTGTTTAGCTCAAGATCCTCTAAATCCCTATTATGAGCTTATATATGTGATGGCCGTACAGGTCCTTAAAGTGATCACAGTTGAAACACCTACCGTGCAGATGTCTGAAACTGTGGGACAGAGGAATAGGGAACATTGACTCAACATTCCTGTGCCTGATATTTTCTCTTCTATGTACAGGTTTTTGGTCACAGTAAAGCCAACGGGGAACCCACCTGGGCTTTACTTCTAACTGCTGCTATTGCAGAGCTGGGAATCCTTATCGCCTCCTTGGATCTCGTGGCCCCAATTCTCTCCATGTAAGAGCTAGTTACTCTTTTAAATTACTCTTGCTTAAATGGTATATACATACATATTCACACATACACACAGCTGTAACTTCACTTAATAAATATTCCTGAGAACATTCATGTAAGGCTAACTTTTTAGATTACTGTGTTTTTGTTTTGGTTTCTTTTCTGTACCTACATAACTTCAAAAGTTCTCTGCGGATGACCTTTCTGAGACATTGGCTGTGGGTTCAGCCTGAGCTAATGTCCTGCCCCAAAACGCTGCATTGCATTATTAACATGCTTGGGAGTGCAAACAATGTGGTGCTGCAGGTTAGCCTGCTGCTAGGGATTCCTGAATCCCATCTCAGAGTGCCTGGTTCAATCCTGGCTACTCTACTTCCAATCCAGCTTCCTGCTAATGCACCCCGTGAGACAGCAGATGATGGCTCAACTGCTTGAGTCTCTGCCTTCTACCTGTGAGACCCAAATGGAGTTCTGGGCTCCCAGCTTCTGGGCATTTGGGGAGTCTACCGGTGGATGGAAGATCTCTTTCTCTCTCCCTTTCTCTCTATTGTTCTGCCTTTTTTTTTTTATTTTATTTATTTATTTATTTATTTATTTATTTATTTATTTTTTTTATTTTGACAGGCAGAGTGGACAGTGAGAGAGAGAGACAGAGAGAAAGGTCTTCCTTTGCCATTGGTTCACCCTCCAATGGCCGCCGCGGCCGGCGCGCTGCGGCCGGCGCACCGCGCTGATCCGATGGCAGGAGCCAGGAGCCAGGTGCTTTTCCTGGTCTCCCATGGGGTGCAGGGCCCAAGCACCTGGGCCATCCTCCACTGCACTCCCTGGCCACAGCAGAGGGCTGGCCTGGAAGAGGGGCAACCGGGACAGAATCCGGCGCCCCGACCGGGACTAGAACCCGGTGTGCCGGCGCCGCTAGGCGGAGGATTAGCCTAGTGAGCCGCGGCGCCGGCCTATTGTTCTGCCTTTTAAACAAATATTCTTTTAAAGAAATTCTTGCATCCCCATATTTAGGTTTGCCAGGAGATTTGAGTGGGAGCGGGTTGTCGAGCTTTCCTCATTTGTAGTGTTAGGAGTGCTAATAAAAGAAGTAAAGCTTTGAAAGGTTTGAGTCTCACACCTGCTCATGGTCATCATCATGCAACTTGCAATACCTGTGAGAAGTGTCAGTCTGCCTATAATCTGAGCAAGTTATGTTAGATGAGAATGTTCAGTGTCACTGCACACTGGTATGAGAGCCATTTACTTCATGGTATGAGTAAACATGTCACCACAAAAATGGAAGGAAAAAAAGTTATTTGCCTCCGTTTCTGATTCCTATAGGTTGTAGCTTTTATTACTATTGTTAGTTTCTATTCATTTGTTCATTTCATTCATTCATTTGCCTGATGGTTTACTATCTACCTATAATATGGTACTCTGTAATGTGCTATGAATACAAGGATGAATGAGGCACAGTCTTTTTTTTTTTTTTTTTTGACAGGCAGAGTGGACAGTGAGAGAGAGAGACAGAGAGAAAGGTCTTCCTTTGCCATTGGTTCACCCTCCAATGGCCGCCGCGGCCGGCGCGCTGCGGCCGGCGCACCGTGCTGATCCGATGGCAGGAGCCAGGAGCCAGGTGCTTTTTCCTGGTCTCCCATAGGGTGCAGGGCACAAGCACCTGGGCCATCCTCCACTGCACTCCCTGGCCACAGCAGAGAGCTGGCCTGGAAGAGGGGCAACTGGGACAGAATCCGGCACCCCGACTGGGACTAGAACCCAGTGTGCCGGCGCCGCTAGGCGGAGGATTAGCCTAATGAGCTGCGGCGCCGGCCCGAGGCACAGTCTTATAAATCAGGAAACCAGTGGGCACGTAGTGTGATGAAACAAATAGTAACATTAGGTACCCTAGGAGCACAAAAGCAAGGCATCGAAATAGACTGAGACTCAAGAGAGATGTCCTTCAGGAAGTGACACCTGCATCTCAAACAATGAAGAACAGTCCAGGCAGGGAATAAGCATAAAGAAACTAGGGGATGAAATTATGTAGCACTTCCAGGATTGAAAATAGCTTAGCTTGTCTACCGTGGGAGGTGCATGTTGGGAGCGGCAGATGGAGAAGTAATGGAGCAGATCACAAAGGACCCGGAACTTTGGCCTGAAAGTAGTGGATAATCTTTCGAAAACAATTGGTACTGTGTTCATAGTTATGTTTTAGAATAATGAACTTGATATAAAAGGTGGATATAAGGAAGCTAAAGTTGAGCTAGAAATGCTATTTGGAAAGAAGAAGTAGGAGTTTGAACTAAGAAGGTGACAGTAGTAGAGTGGAAAATGAAGAAAAAAGTAGAAGGATTTTTAAATAGGTTGAATATTTATGACTTGATACGTGAATCTGGAACAAGAGTGAATAAGGAAGAGGAAACCTTGATTGTCCCAAGAGCAACTGGATAAAGAGTGCTTGTGCCACTGACTTGAGCCAGAGAACATGGGATGATGAGCAGGTTTAAGTTTCTCTATACCCTATGTTATTAAGGGTTAGTGTCTAGAAACAGGCTTCAATATAAAAACTTCTCTATTTAGTTAAAATAACCCTCAAAGAATCACTTGGGGCTGGTGCTGTGGTATAGCAGGTAAAGCTATCACCTGCCATGCTGGCATCCAGTATGGGAACTGGTTCGAGTCCCTGCTGATCCACTTCCAGTCCAAGCTCCCTGGTAATGCACCTGGGAAAGCAATGGAAGATGGCCCAAGTACTTGGGCCCCTGCACACTTGTGGGAGACCTGGAAGAAGCTCCTGGCTTCAAATCAGCCCAGCTCTGGCCGTTGCAGCCATTTGGAGAATGAACAGCAGATGGAAGATACCTCTCTCTCCCCCTCTTCCTTCCCTCCCTCCCTCTCTCTCTCCCCCTCTCTCTCTCCCCCTCTCTCTCTCCCCCTCCCTCTCCCTCTTCCTCTCCCGCTCTCTGCCCCCTCCTCCTTCCCCCTGCCCCTACTCCTCTCCCCCTTCTCTGTAACTCTGCCTTTCAAATAAATAAATATTTTAAAAATCACTTTACAGTAAGTCATTCCTCTTATTTTTATCTCCCAGGTTTTTTCTCATGTGTTACCTCTTTGTGAACTTGGCATGTGCCTTGCAAACATTACTTCGAACACCCAACTGGAGACCCCGATTCCGCTACTACCACTGGTAAGTCTGCTTTGCTTCTTCCCCACATTTGGAAAGAACCCGTCGTTGACCTAGAAACCTAGGAAATTATGGGTTTTCAGTACAGTATTTTTCTTGGCCAGCCATTCACTACTGTCTGTTTCAACTTTCAGTTTTCTTATGAATTGCCACCCTTATATTGCATTTTTTTCACTACTATAGTAACTTACAACAACTTCTGAGAATAAAGAACAAAACCACCAACAATAAGTATTTCCAGCCCACTACAATCTTCAAGTTAAAACAACCTTTTCTTTGCATATCTTATTTTCCTGTTTGCCTTTTAACTGAGCACTGGATTCCATCCCTGTCTATGTTTACTCAATATTCTCATCAATTTTCATTCTCAAACACTCTTCCTTATGACAGGTTTACTGAGGGTGAGGTTTAGAGCAAGGTGACCCATGTTCCAGGCTCAGCTCTTGTGCTGCCTAGTTGTAACCTTCAGCAGAGCACATAACCATGTAAACCTTCATTTTACTAAGGGACTAATAACTATTTTTTTTTTTTTAGGATTTACAGGTTTATTTACTTGAAAGGCAGAGTAACAGAGAAAGAGGGAGAGAGAGAGAGAGAGATCTTCCCTATGCTGATTCACTCCCCAAATGACCACAACAGCCAAGGCTGGGCTAAGCAGAAGCCAGGAGTCTGGAACACCATACCGGTCTTCCATATGTATGGCAGGGCCCAGGCCCTCAGGCCATCTTCCACTGCTTTCCTGTGCTTGTTAGTAGTAAGCTAAATTGGGAATAGAGCAGCCTGGGACTAAAACCAGAATGCCAGCATCGCAGGCAGCAGCTTAACCTGCTGTACCACTGTGCCAGTCCAGGGACTAGTAACTTTGAAGTGCTCAGTATAATGCCTGGTACATAGTAAAGTTCTGGAAATGTGTTGCTATTGTTGTTGTCATTAACTCTCCCCAGTCCTGCAGAAGCTATCTGTGCGTGTGTGTGTGTGTGTGTGTGTGTGTGTATGTTTAAAGATGCATTTATTTATTTGGAAGGAAGAGTTACAAGGTGAGAGAGAGCGCTTCAGTTTGCTAGTTCACTCTCCAAATGTTTGCACCAACCTGGCCTGGGCCAGGCCGAAGCAGGAGCCTGGAAATCTATCCAGGTCTCCTACATAGATAGAAGGGACCCAAATGCTTGGGACATATTCTGCTTTCCCAAGCACCTGTGCAGGGACCTGGACCAGAAGTTGAGCAGCTCAAACTGGCACCCACATGAGGTGCCAGCATCTCAGGTTCTGGCTCAACGCATTGCACCAAAGTGCTGGCCCCCTGTTAGATTTTGTTTTAACTACCATCCTCATTTCTCTCATAATCAAGAGTCTTTGGGGTTCTCAAAAATTTTCATGTACTTGAGAGGCAGGGGGGTACCTCCCATCTTTGGGTTCATTCCTCAAGTGTCCCCAGTGGCCCCTAGCTGGGGCCAAAGCTGGAAGCTGAGGAACTCATTCCAGGTCCTCTTGAGTGGCAGGAACCCAGTTACTTGAGCCATCACTGCTTCCTCCCAGATCTGCATTAGCAGGAAGCTGGAGTCAGGAGCTGGAGCTGGGGGTTCCAGTGTGGGGCAGAGAGACCAACCGCTGTGCCAGATGCCGGCCTCACCGTTCTTTATGCCCTGTGTGTCTCAGTGGCCACATTCCTGGTTGCTGATTTTCCTAGATCCCTTTCTGGCTTTGCTTTACCAGTAGTGGACAGTGATATGACCTTTATCTGGAACAATTTATATCTTTAACTGATTGTAACACCTCTGGTCCCCTATCTAGCTTTAACTTTAGTTGAAGCTTCATTATGAACTTTTTGTGTGTGTTGCTATTTTGCTCCTGTTACTTTATTTTCTTCTACTCTATTTTTTCATTAGAACCTAATCCCCAAATTAGCAACTCTCCTATTCATTCTTTAAAGTGATTACAGAGCTAGGAAGTTTGTTCTACACACAGAAGATCAGGTAAGTGTAGTTTCCCGGATCAAAACAAGCACTTTATTGCTCTCCCAAGTTTCTCTTGTGTACAGTAAGAAAATTAGTGGCAGTTTTCTCTCAGTGGCTTTTACAATTAAGCTAACAAATGTTCATGAAAGTTTTAGGAATATTTAGGTGAAATTTGTTTTAAAAGATCATAGAGTTATTAACATATCTGACCACATGTCCCATTGCTGCTTTACCCAGAAAGTATTAAGCATCCTCAAAACAACTGATTTTGATGGCATCCCTGTTCGTTTATGTTATTCCAGCCTCCACCAGTACAGGTGGGTTTGGGCTCAGCACAGTTTATTGACTGTTGCCAGTCCATGATGAGGCAGTGATAGAAACTGAGACTAAACATCTAGAAATGTTTAAGCAATTCAACATTGCCATAGCATCCAGGCATGTCATAATTTTTCCGATACCTCAGTTAATGTACTTTATAAAAGTTCTTTCTGTAATAGATAGGAAATTTTTTGAAAATATCTCACCAGAGCCTGTATGAGAAATACCTCTAGCATAGGCTTTTTTAGCTGCTCAGAAAGACATATTTCTGTTTGTGTTTTATTTCCTGTTTTCTAGGGCCCTCTCTTTCATGGGAATGAGTATTTGTCTGGCACTCATGTTCATCTCTTCCTGGTATTATGCCATTGTTGCTATGGTAATTGCTGGCATGATATACAAGTACATTGAGTACCAAGGGTGAGTGTGGATTTTACCTTGATATCTGCTAAACGTACATAAATGGGCTAGTTTAGTTAGAACCAACTCCATGAAAACTACATTTGGGACCCAGGTAGTTTGATTTGTAACTTGTTACACAAATTTGGTACCCCTAATTCTATTAAACATCCTACAGATACAAGTTTTTCATCCCAAGGGGAACCTCTTGAGAAAGAAAGAGTGGGTCAATGAAAAATAAAAGGACACATCTGAGTAAAACTGATAAGTATCAAATGGAGTGTAATACAAATGTGAATATTTTGGCTGATCACTTCAGTCATGGGATTGTCTCTGAAATGAAAAATATATTAGCCCACAATAACTTTGTAATAAGACCTTACTAACAGCTTCCAAAAGTGGAAATAAATAACTTCTTAATTCTAATAGTACTTGAACTCTGAATATATAATAATTTCTGAGTCCCAAGTTGCTGTTGTTGGGTAGATGCACAGAAGGACCAAGTGAGTGACCCATCCAATGTTTGTGCAGTGCAGTCTGGGTGCAGGGTGGTGTTGGTCCGCATTACTAAACTATGAGCATATCAAGGCTAAAGATTTCCAATAGACTGCCTCGTGGGCTCACTATGTTAGTAAAGAGCACTGCATATGCCATTAGTAAAAGTTTTAATCTTCTACCTAGTGCATATGTCACCTTTAGATTAAAAAGTTTATTTCTTGACAATTTAGTTTAAATCTGTCTCCTCCTTTGTCTCTCAGAGCTGAGAAGGAATGGGGTGATGGGATCCGTGGGCTGTCCCTCAGTGCAGCCCGGTTTGCTTTGCTTCGCCTGGAGGAAGGACCTCCACACACTAAGAACTGGAGGTAAAGAAACCAGCTTCACCTTAGTGCTTAGTGACTTTTGACCCATGGTTAACATACAGAAATGTGTGCTTCGTCAATTACAGGAAGAGGAAACAGTATGGCTCAAGGAACTGGTGTGGAGGACCTATTCTGAATGATCCCACACCCGTGGTTCTTTGGGTACCTTTTCAAGGGACTTGTGATCTTAATATTCATAATTGACTGTTTTTTGCGTGAAGTCTGATCAGTCTAAAATGATATTGGAAGCATTCAAAATAACTCAGTGCTCTGACCCTATCATTTCCTCTGATCACTTCCTTCTGCCAAATTACATGTTTTACATGAATCTGCTGAATTAAAGGTGGAATTACCCTTCTGTTTACCAGACCTAAAGTGTGTTCTCTCTTCCTTCTCACCCGCCACCTCCTCCTTCCCCCATTCTCCACAGGCCTCAGTTGCTTGTGTTACTGAAACTAGATGAAGACTTACATGTCAAGCATCCTCGCCTCCTCACTTTCGCCTCACAGCTCAAAGCAGGAAAGGGCCTTACTATCGTGGGCTCAGTCATTGTGGGGAACTTCCTGGAGAACTATGGTGAAGCTTTAGCTGCTGAGCAGGTAAGAGGCAAGACTTACCGGCCTAGTGGTCAGTAGTGAATCCCTTCCCTGAGTGATCTAGGAGATTTCCTGCTTACTGCTGACTTTTGAACACTCCTACCTCCCAAATAATCAGATGAGCCAGAAGGTAGCTTTTTCTTCTTCCTTCCCGTGTAAAGCATTATGAAACTGTGAGCATACCAGGCTCAACATTTCCAATGAACTGCAAGCACTGATCTGAGCCCAAGAGCGGTCCCTAGAACTGTGTGGCGGCTTCTTCGCATCCTTTGGCAAAGGGCAGCGAGCAGCTCCTCCTGCTCTTTCCTCACCCGTTTTTTGTGGCATCACAAGGTCCTTGCCTGCTTCTGAATAGCTGCACCACATATTCATGCTGAACCTGGAGAAGCATAGTTTCACTCTGATGTCTATTATCAAGTAATAAAAGTAATCTTGTTGCTTGATGAAATTTTTAATTGTATTTAAAACCTTTTTATTGAATCTCATTTTAGGATGCTTTAATACTTTAAAATCTAGAAATGCTGAGAAACATTCATCTAGAATGACAGTAAAAATTATTAAAAACAGAGGACCAGACTGTAAATCAGGACAGCCTGGTTCTTTTCCCAGCCACACCACTGACTGACCTGTACCTTTTGGAAAGTCAAATCTTCTTGCACACCATTATTCTCCTTTCTGCTGGGGAGGGTGGATTAGAGTCAGTGAGGTTTCTCCCAGGTTGGCGTGACTACATGAATGAACAGCAGAGCAAATACAAATGCCATCGGTAATCCCGTTAAATTACCTCTTAGAGGGTTATGGGAACTCAGTAGAAAAGCAAGACTTACTGGGACAAGTCCAAAGTGAAACTGCATCACCGACTGAATTTCTAGTAGATAAGCCAGCTGATGCCCGGGGCTGAGGAAGGAAGAAGATGGCGTTCACGCTGGTGAATTCACCCTGGCCAGCTGAACAAGAACAGTGAATATTTACTTCCTGGAGATCTCTGTTCTCTTTTTTTTTTTCTTTTGGAGGGGGTAGTTACAAAGAAAGGAAAAGAAGAAGCAGAATAGAGGAAAAGGTAGAGAAACTATGTGCAGAGGTAAAAATATGTACTAAGCCCTTAATGAACAAAAAAGGATGGTGACATTTCATGGGGGGTAATTTTCACTTTTTGGGCTTTTCTATAGGTTAGTATAGTGTTGTGAAGGGGTGGGCAAGAGTTTAGAAGATAAAATGGAGAGGGAATACTGGGTTTAAAGGTCCAGGGTGAAGCAATTCATTGTTGTGGTTCTGTGACTCTTTCAGACCATAAAGCATCTAATGGAGGCAGAGAGAGTGAAAGGATTCTGCCAGCTGGTGGTGGCCGCTAAGCTGAGAGAGGGCATTTCCCACCTCATCCAGTCCTGCGGCCTCGGGGGCATGAAGCACAACACGGTGGTGATGGGCTGGCCCAATGGCTGGCGCCAAAGCGAAGATGCTCGTGCCTGGAAAACTTTTATTGGTATGAAACATTTCCTATACTAACCCAGGGGCCCAAGTAAGAGATGCAGTCTAATCCTGGTCACCTTACCCCACCCCTTGCTTCCCAGAGACTGTACCATTGCTGGCACATAGCTTTATAAAGTCACCTGAAAACACTACTGGCAATAATAACCTGGTTCTACCTGTTTGTGACCATGAATTGTTTCTCTCTGTCAGGTCATTTATTAATGCATTTAAGAGAGACAGAGTCAGAGATCACCTCTGCACTGGTTCAGTCCCCAAGTGCCACTCCAGATGGGGTTGAATCAGGCTGAATCCAGCATCTGGGAACTCAGTCGTGTCTCCCACCTGGGTGAGAGGGACCTGACCACTTGAGTCATCAGCAGGAAGCTGGAATAGGGAGCATAGCTGGGACTTGAACCCAGGCACTCCGACATGGGATGCAGGTGTCTGAACTCAGTTAACTGCTAAGCCAAGTGCCCACCCCCTCTCTTTCAAGTCCACAATTGCCATGTTCTCATTGATTATTTCCCATACTGTCATCCTCACAGAAATTGGGAGATTATTCCTCAGTATCTCCCAAGATTCACATTTCCCACTTAGAAATTCACAATCAGAATATGTCTAGTAACATAAACTGTGGTTCTCGATCTAATTCTGTTACCTAGTTGGATTTTCTCAGTGGTTTTGTCTGTTTTTTTGTTTGTTTGTTTGGTTTGTTTTGTTTTGGACAGGCAGAGTTAGAAAGAGACAGAGAGAAAGGTCTTCCTTCTGTTGGTTCACCCCACAAAGAGCCACTAGGGCCAGTGCGCTGCTGCCAGAGTACCGCGCTGATCCGAAGCCAGGAGCCAGGTGCTTCCTCCTGGTCTCCCATGGGGTGCAGGGCCCAAGGACCTGGGCCATCCTCCACTGCCTTCCCGGGCTACAGCAGAGAGCTGGACTGGAAGGGCTGCAAGAGGAGCAGCCTGGACAGAATCGGCGCCGCTGACCGAGAATAGAACCCGGGGTGCTGGCACCGCAGGTGGAGGATTAGCCAAGTAAGCCGTGGCGCCAGCTATCTTTGTTTTTTACATAATGAGGTGTAATCTCTTAGGTAAATAGGACACCTTGTTCACAGAAATGTTACAAGAGCATTATTCTGGCCAGCGCCATGGTTCCCTTGGCTAATCCTCCGCCTACGGTGCCGGCACTCTGGGTTCTAGTCCCGGTTGGGGCACCGGGTACTAGTCCTGGTTGCTCCTCTTCCAGTCCAGCTCTCTGCTGTGGCCCAGGAAGGCAACAGAGGATGGCCCAGGTGCTTGGGTCCTGCACCCGCATGGGACACCAGGAGGAAGTACCTGGCTCCTGGCTTCGGATCGGCGCAGCGCTGGCCGTGACAGCCATTAGGGGAGTGAACCAACGGAGGGAAGACCTTTCTCTCTGTCTCTCTTTCTCTCTCACTATCTAACTCTGCCTGGCAAAAAAATTAAAAAATAAAATAAAACCAAGAGCATTATTCTTGCTTTCCTGACATGGTGGGAAACAAAGCGAGCCTAAGGATTCCTCTGCTCATCCTGGACCTTTTTTCTCCTCAGGCACAGTTCGAGTGACAACTGCTGCCCATCTCGCCCTGCTGGTGGCGAAGAACGTCTCCTTCTTCCCCAGCAATGTGGAGCAGTTTTCTGAGGGCAACATAGACGTGTGGTGGATTGTGCATGATGGGGGGATGCTCATGCTATTACCATTCCTACTGAAACAGCACAAGGTATCATAGACAACTTTGAAGAATCTGTTTCTCCCTTCTGTCCTGGTTCACTAGACTAAATCTTCCTATTTGATGATATAATGTTGTAAGAAGTTAGCACATCTTTATTTATATTTTTTTTTTGACAGGCAGAGTTAGAGAGACAGAGAGAAAGGTCTTCCTTCTGTTGGTTCACCCCACAAAGAGCCTCTAGGGCTGGCACACAGCACCAGTCCGAAGCCAGGAGCCAGGTGCTTCCTCCTGGTCTCCCATGCAGGTGCAGGGCCCAGGGACTTGGGCCATCCTCTACTGCCTTCCCAGGCCACAGCAGAGAGCTGGACTGGAAGAGGGGCAACTGGGACAGAATGCGGCGCCCCAACCAGGATTAGAACCCGGGGTGCTGGCGCCACAGGCAGAGGATTAGCCTAGTAAGCTGCGGCGCCGGCCAACACATCTTTATTTTTTTAAAATGGGAAATAGGGCAACATTTGGGTACATAGGTTAAAATGTCACCTGGTATGCCCACATCCCATATCAGAGTGCCTGAGTCTCAGCTCTGCTGCAGATTCCAGCTTCCAGCTAATGCTTCCTGGGAAGTGTCAGGTGATGACTTAAGTAACTTGGATCCCTGCCTCCCACATGGGAGACCCCAGTGGAATCCCAGACTCCTGATTTCAGTGTGGCCCAGCTCTGCCTGTTGTGGGTATTTGGAGAATGAACCAGCAGATGGGAGATGTCTTTGTGCCTTGCAAATAAATAAAAATCTCTCAAATACTAGAAACCTAAAGTATATGCGTGTATATATGTGTATTTCACACACACATACATGCTCATCCTTTGCTAAGACTAATTAAACTGAAATTTAAAATAGTAAATAATATAGTCTGCATGATGTCATTGATCTCTTGATGTATCACGAGTCAAGGAATAAACAAACTGGGTGTCTCCCACTTTACTCACCACATGTGCTGGGGTTTTTCCCACACATCAAACAAGCTGGGGTTTTGCGGTCAACACCAGCAGGGTGTCCTCTACTTCAGCGCAACTCTGACACTGTCTTCCTGGGGGCAGCATCATATCCCACAGATTGAGGATAAGTCCCACAAGGCTACCTGCTATTTGGAATGCAAATTGCAAGGTCCAGGTGGTTTTACCTGTGTGTGTGTGTGTGTGTGTGTGTGTGTGTGTGTGTTTATTTGGACAGAGTAGACAGAGACAGAGAGAAAGGTCTTCCTTTACCATTGGTTCACCCTCCAATGGCCGCCATGGCTGGCGTGCTGTGGAGGGCGCACCACGCTGATCCAAAGCCAGGAGCCAGGTGGTCTCCCATGCGGGTGCAGGGCCCAAGGACCTGGGCCATCCTCCACTGCACTCCCAGGCCACAGCAGAGAGCTGGTCTGGAAGAGGGGCAACCGGGACAGAATCCAGCGCCCCGACCGGGACTAGAACCCTGTGTGCTGGCGCCGTGGGCGGAGGATTAGCCTGTTGAGCTGTGGCGCCAGCCTACCTGTGCTTCTTACTGACCTACTTAAAAACTGGGGTGCCACAACTCCCTCCTTAGGTTCAGTTAAGGTGCCAGAGTGACTCACAGAGCTTAGGGAAACACCTATTCATTATAAAGGATTTTAAAAATTTATTTCTTTATTTGAAATGCAGAAAGGGAAAGACAGAGTCATCTGCCATCTGCTAGTCCCCTCCCCAGTGGCCCTGACAGTTGGTACTGGGCCGGGCCAAAGCCAGGAGCCAGGAAATACATCAGAGCCTCACACGTGGGTAGCACTGGGGCCATCTTTCTCTTCCCAGGCATATTAACAGGGAGCTAGATCAGAAGAGGAGCAACATCACAGGTGTTAGCTTAACGGACCTGTCAAGGTTATTTTAAAGGATACAAATGAAAAGATGCAGGGCTGGCATAGTGGATTAAGCTGCCTCCTGCAATGCTGGCTGGCATCCAAATGGGCACTGGTTCATGTCCTGGCTGCTCCATTTCTGATCTAGCTTCCTGCTAATGCACCTGTGAAAGCAGCAGAAGCTGGCCCAAGTGCTTAGGCCTCAACATCCATGTGGGAGACCCAGTTGAAGCTCCTGGCTTCAACCAGGCCCAGCCCCAGCCATTGTGGCCATCAGGAGAGTGAACTAGTGAATGGAAGATATCTCTTTCCTGTCTCTTTTCTCTCTCTAACAAAAGAACGAAAGAAGGGGCGAAGGAAGGAAGGAGAAAGGGAAGGGAAGATGCACAGAGGGCCACATGAGGGAAGGGGCTCTCCCTGGGAGCTGTGCCCTGCAGGATTCTCGACGTTTGGCTCTCTGACACCACTCCTTTCAGGCTTTGGTGGAGGCTTCATTACACAGGCACAGTTGAATAATCACTGGCTACCTTCAGCCCCTTTCATCTTCCTAGGGGTTGGAGAATGAGGTTTAAAGTCCCAGCCCACTGATCCTGCTTGGTCATTCTGGTGACCAGGCCCCATCCTGAAACTGCCTTGGGGCAGCCAACTACCAGTCATTAGCATTAAAAAACACTCCTACCACTTTGAAGATTCCTAGAATTTTAGGAATATATGCGAGGAAACAGGGACAAAGACCAGCTGTGTATTTCATATCATAGCATCCTTCTTTTCCTTTGCCAGTTTTTTCTTAAGAGATTAAAGAATTCCTTAGAACTATTTAATGTTACTCTGTCTTTTGTCCTAGTGCAATAATTCAGTAAGCAGGAAGCTAGGAACAAATATCCTCATACTATACAGAAGATTGTTCTAGGCTAAAATGCCTTGTGTTTTGGAAACCAACTCCTTTTGACTTCTTGGACCTAATTTTCCATGTATGTATGGCGCCCTGTCAGGTGTGGCGAAAATGTAGCATCCGGATCTTCACAGTAGCCCAGCTAGAAGACAACAGTATCCAGATGAAGAAGGACCTGGCTACCTTCCTGTATCATCTGCGCATTGAAGCAGAGGTGGAGGTGGTAGAGATGGTGAGGAAGCAGAGACCACCCTCCCCCCACCCCCCAGCCTCCACCCTGTCTTGCTAGAACCTCTTCTGGTTTGGGAAATTATTCAGCTGTAAATGTGGATGAATGTCCTAGTTCCAACAAAACCCTAGTTGGTTGACCTAGATAAGTAATATATGTATGTGATATATGTTTGGTGTTGCTTTTCGATCTTGCTTTTTTGTTTATTTCACAGCCTTTATATTCCTGATTATAGTTTTAATAGTTTTTAATTCATATTTATGATTACACGACTTTGCTTTTTATAACCTGGTAGTAATTTTAAAAAGCACTTGAGTTCATGTTTTGTGTTTTTTGTGGTGGTTAGACTATAGAAAAGACCTTCAGGGCTTCTAGATTGTATCTACAACCTAAAATAACATGTAGCTCAAAAACTGGACAAAATAAGGGTGAAACTTAGGTTGATAGGATACTTTTCTGGTTTAAGTTAGTGGGAATAAAAATGTGTAACTCACTTTTCTTTCTCCTTTGTGCTTTCTGCCCACCTGGTATGCTATTTGTGGCAGCACGACAGTGACATCTCAGCTTATACTTATGAGCGCACCCTGATGATGGAGCAGAGGTCCCAGATGCTGCGGCACATGAGGCTCTCCAAAACAGAGCGCGACAGAGAGGTGAGACCCTGCTTCCATCTAAGCCCAGCCCCATGAAGTCTGTAGGTATAACAGTTGATACTGTATTTGTTTTAATAGGGCAACAATCTTTTTCCATCTTATTCCACTATAACACCACTACTGTTTCAAAATAATTAAAGATGAAGCATGAGGCAAAATTAGGTAGAATAACTGTGTTGGACTTTCCTTAGGCCCAATTGGTAAAAGACCGGAACTCAATGCTACGACTAACCAGCATTGGCTCAGATGAAGATGAAGAGACAGAAACCTATCAGGAGAAGGTGCACATGACTTGGACAAAAGACAAGTACATGGCATCCCGGGGGCAAAAAGCCAAGTCGATGGAAGGATTCCAGGATCTGCTTAACATGCGTCCGTGAGTTTTCCCACATAATAGAATTCTCATCAATGACAAAGGTGTGACTTTGCCTAGACACAAAGGATAGTCTGTTCATTTCACTCCAAATCCAGCTATCTCTATTGTTTGCGTGTGCAGATTAACTCCCAATTAACACTGTACACAAGTACATCCTTCTTTCTCTCCATGTAGCTCATATCTGTAGTGTGTCCCTGGTATAATACAAGCAAACATTAAATGAGAAAACCCAGGATATTATTATCATATGGAAATACTTTTATATTATCAATATCAAGAAGAAAAACTCTGGATCTTGAGAATGACTATAGCTAGTTTTCTCTTTGCCTTAACTACTTCTATTTCTCCCTGACCCAGAGACCAGTCAAATGTGAGGCGGATGCATACAGCAGTGAAGCTCAATGAGGTTATAGTTAACAAGTCCCATGAAGCCAAGCTGGTTCTGTTGAATATGCCAGGGCCACCCCGAAACCCTGAAGGTGATGAAAACTGTATCCTTTTGAAGAGTGGAGTTGCCAGTAGGGAAATTCTTCTTAGCCTTTTCTTAAGTGAGACATTTCCTCTTTGAGGAAGGAAGCCTTAAACTTCTCAGGCAGGGTTTCATGCAAAATTATAAGACTGATTAAGCTTTTTGTGAGTTTCCCAATTTTTAAGGTTTAGAAAATGCCTAACAAATGAGTCTTGTAGTATATATGCAATGGGATTACTTCAAAGGGTAAAACTAAATCCAGAATTTAGACTTTCCAATTCTGAGTTTATTAATTAAGACATGTGTACTTACTAGATAGTTCTGTGATAAGTTAAATTCAGATGATGATGATGCCAGATTGTAAAGTGTTGTCTTCTGCCTGTTTGTCTCCTTGACAAGTTCTGAAGACATGGAATTCTTAGAAGTGCTCACGGAGGGACTGGAGCGAGTCCTCCTTGTCCGTGGCGGTGGCAGTGAAGTGATCACCATTTACTCATAATCAGCTCCTGGATGACTCTGCTTGGCCTCACCTTTCCTACAATGCTTCTGTCCTCCATGGAAGTGACAGCTCTTTACTACCACTCCATCTGACTAGAGGCCTGTGTTCCATACACAATACACTGAACTCTTGATGAGCTGAGCCTCAAGTACTTCTGCAAAAACAGTACTAAAAGATCTGCTGTCCTAACAGATGAAGCAAATATTCCTTCAACATCAGAACAATGGTCAAATCCCAAAAGCCATGTCGTCAGTAGAAAGCAAGTTAGAATAGAATTAACAAGCTAAGCCAATAAACGAATTAGTAAAAGAGATGGTTAGAAAGTCAGCTGAAGACAAAAAGCAAGAACATAGCCAACAGTAAAGATAGGTCTCAGAAACCATAGCTTGATGATGACACCACAGAGTTAACAGCCACAGAGACCACCTTATCCTACTGAAGAATTCACAGCCAAGTATGAGGATCCATTACATTTGTAGAGATAACCATGGCAAGCCAAGATGGAAACTTTTTTTAGCTATTTCTTTCTGTACCCACTGCTCTTTAGGACTCAGTAATTTTATGTTAGGGTAGTAAAATACATGGCTGAGACATGGCTGCAGTGTCTACTTTCTCAAAAACAAGATTTCCCCCAAAATGCCAGGCTTATGTATCCAGTGTGTCAGTGTATGTTTCAGCTGTTTATATTAACTCAGAACTCATGCTGTAACTTGTTACCATGGAATTGCTTGTTAAGGGTATAAATTATTTCAGGTTCTTTTTCAAATGGCTGAACTAAGGGAGTTTCAAGATAGTCATTAAGATTTACTTAAGTAGTCTGGTTTTCTATGCAACATGGGCAAAACATACATGCTGTTCCCTAAGAAATATGGGGCACAATGCACACCTTTCTTTCTCTTTATGCCTTCTTCATAAGCACAGGTAAAAAATAAGGTACAGTAGGAAGAATGGCTAAAATCCTCCCCCAAAACCTCAGACCATCTTTAAAGGATGAATTCAGCAACAGAACTGGAAATTCTAGAGCCATATGCTTTCCATAGTGCCAAAGTTATTACTGAGCTGCTGTTCTCCTTACCTACTTCACTAAACTGGCATACAGATTGGCACTGGCTTGACTGAAGAGTTTTTTCACTAAGAAACCTTGGCCTCATCTCCAAAGCCATAGTTAAGACTTGAGGCACTCACCTAAACACCAGAGGAGGAGCATTTTCCCCTTTTCAATTTGATTCCTAATTCTGACTGCAGAAACTTGTCTCTGACCTAAGAGGTTACCCAAGCAAATAGTCTTCGGCAGTTTGTTTTCAGAAAGCTCTAAATGTGCCAAGAAAACACATAAAAAAGCTCAGCTTTTTTATTCACTACTCTATCGGTCACAAAAACCCTGGCTTATTTCATGTCTGTGAAATCTTCCTTTACAGGACAAGTGTTTAGAGAAACTCTTCTTGTATTCAGGCTGCTTTCAGATTTTGCTTTACTAATGATAAAAAGTGCCAATCTTTGATTACTCAACAGGATTTGAAGCAAGCTGAACTGTAGGTGTCAAAATTATTCATTTGACTCATAAGAACAAAGAAAATCCTTCCTTAGAGCTTAAGAAACTTGCGTTACATATTTGTTCCCATTGCTCAGCTTTCAACCTCCAGGCCCACTCAGGGCAGCAGAGCAGACAGGATCCTGTCTTTTTTTTCTGTTGGTTCTAACAAAAGGTAGAAACATTGTTTACCATTCCCATTGCAACACTCCACTGCTTAGTTGTGTACAGTAATAGCGGGACAGGTCCTCTAGGACCCAAGATCTTAAAGATCAGTACTGTCAAGATTAGCCTGCCCAGGAATCCCCCAACATTTACATACACCCCTGGCCAAAGTGACACTTTTTTTTTCCCTCCCCATTTAGGACAAGTATGAGCATAAAATAAGGCTAGCTTTAGAACTGATTACTAGTGGTTGGAACTCTGTAAGAGTACTTTAAAGGGATAAGGAAATTAGTGGCTATTAAGATAGCCACTACTTCAACCCCTAAAACACAAAATCACTGTTACATGGAAAAATGGTTATTAGGCCAGATTTATCCTCATCTCTGTCTAAAGCATTTCATGTCTATGTGTTGCTTATGTTGTCTGCAAAGTGTCTGGTCTCTTAATCACTGCAAATAAAGCAATACTGAAAACTTGATGAGAGAAAGCACCTTAGGGGAAGGGGCTTTGTGTTTCAAGAGGGAAGAGAAAAGACAGACCTTCTGCCTTTGGAATGAGACCCAGCTTTTACATCTTACCTATGACTTTAGTAGGGCAGGGTATAATACATTCTCCTCCTGCTGGCCCTCTGCCTTCCACAGCTATTGTAAAAGCTGAAGATGGAACTGCAGCACTTACTCAACAGCAGCCAGGTTCCTCTTGGCAGGCAAAAGGTCTGTGCTCCTTATCCTCCATCGCCTCAGATTCCTGTGGCCCCAAGGATCCCACCAATCCTCATTCCCCCTAAACATGTTAAAAATCCCTTATTGTGGGTATTAAAATAACAGTTACATACTGTAAGCATATTTATGTGCTTTTTTTTCTGGTTTATTTTTCTTTACATCATGTATAATCTGAATCAAGCATTAGTTTATTCCACAAGTGTCTTCGAGAGAATTTTTATGTCCTAGCTTGTGTTAAATAGAAGTGAGATATTAAGGAAAATAGATTTAAAAGCAAACTTTTGCAACTTTTTTAAGCATTGTTCTCAACCATTTAATTTATTGAAATGCTGCTATAGTTACTGACTTAGCAGCAACTGTTCTTTTGTTTACATAGAGTTCTGGTCATGTTTGTTTTGCTCTGTATTGGAAACATAAATAAAGTTTTCTACATTATTTTCAGTCAGGGGTTGTGGTACAATTTCTTTATGACAGCAGTAATATGCACATTGTCCTTCTGGAAGCTGTCTCTCCAGGGGAAAACAGCTATTGGTTCTTCCAACATCAGTGATCACTGTAAGGGTGTGCTTAAGAGCCAATGGAGACTGAAGAAGGATGTACATGAGAAGCGGATACATAGGCCAGGTTCACAGAAGTAATCCTCCACCACTGAACTCCATTCTCTGAAAGGAGAAAAAGCACACAAGTGAATGGTAAATTGCTGAAATAGCTTCCTGAATCGATTACTTAATATTTTACTCACAAACTCTAATAACTTTGAAATTTCCAATGACTCTTACTTCTGAAGAAATTAACTGTTATCCCATACCATCAAATGGATCTGTGATTCTTGTTACTCACATTAGAACTGCCCAGTATCCAGCCTTTCTTGTTCCTTACCTCAGGGGGCTCAATGAAGGCTAACCAATCTGATGCATGTGTAGGCAGTAATCCCATAGACTGGCACTTGTAAACAGCCAATGCCAAACCCATCAGGTTCCCAATCAGATAGACCAAACCCTGAAGAAATTTCTGGCTTGAACTTTCTAGCATCTTGAAAGCTGTTGGGATAACAGAAACTGTCAAAATCAACATAACTTTTTTTCCAGTATGAATCAAGCCAACCACATTTTAAGATAATATACACAGGCCTATAGTAAGATAGCAAATAAGACCACTAAAGGTCAACAGGACACCATGGTAAGCACTGTTCTCCCCTCCATGCCACTACCATCAGCACCACCCCCTGTACATTCTCTAGCCAGGAACTGTGTCCAAGAATTTACCTGTAATTCTTAAAACTTAGGGAAGGATCATTATCTCAACAATACTTACTGGCTGAAATAGCCATAAGTGCCTGAATGGGTCGCCAGGCCATCATACACACCATCATCGTGGGGAAGATGGAGATCGTATTGCCTGCCATGTACATGATGAAGAGGTTCATAGGAATCTGTTTCAGGGGACCCAAGGCAATATCCCAGCAACGCTGAAATAAAACACACAATTTTAACCTCTATCTGATCACTGTCCTCAGTCGCAGATTCACTGTATCACTACCGTTCAGATGAATGGGCCAGCACTGTGGTGCTACAGGTTAATCTTCCACCGGCGATGCTGCATCCCATAAGGATGCCAGTTCTAGTCCTGGCTGCTCCTCTTCTGATCTAGCTCTCTGCTATGGCCTGGGAAAGCAGTAGAAGATGGTCCAAGCACTTGGGCCTCCGCACCCACGTGGAAGACCCAGAGAAAGCTCCAGGGCTTCGGATCGGCCCAGCTGCAGCCATTGTGGCCATTTAGGGAATTAACCATCAGATAGAAGACCTTTCTCTGTCTCTCCCTCTCACTGTAACACTACCTCTCAAATATTTTTTTAAAAATCAAATTTACAGAATTCCCAATTCCTGCCTCTGATACAGTTGACCCCTCAATTCTACCACCTTTTTTCTTGATGTTGCCACTGGAAGCTCTCTCTTCTAAAGTTAACGCATTCTCACCACATTGGGCTTTGCCCTATAGGTTTTCCAGATGTCATTTTTTCTTCTTCTGAGTTTGGCTAAAGAAAAGATTTTCCTATTTAGATACTTCTGCATTTATCATTGTCCCATCTAAATTCAAAAAAACTCCACAGAGTGGAAAATTAGCACACCTCAATAATAGAACATGAACACAAATCAAGACATAGAAGATCTGAATAACAAATGTAACCCAACTGATAGAAAAAATCATTGCACTCAACAAGTGCAGAATTCATTCTTTGCAAACACACAGGATGACTACAAAAACTGATCACTTGTTAAGTCATGGAGAAAATGTCAGTTTACACAAAGCATGTTCTTTGACTACAATGTAATTAAGCTATAAATCAATAATAAAAACTAGAAAACCCCTAGTTTGAAAACTAAAATGTAATTTATGAATCAAAGGTGCAATAAAAATTAAGATTGTTAACTGTTAACAAAAATACCAAATGTTAAACTTGTGATACAGAGCTTTAAGAAATATATAATCTTAAATTTATAATAAAGTATGCATTCATTTCCAGAAGCTAGAAAAGAACAAACCCAAGAATTCTGAAAAGAAACAAAGTAGAACAAAAATTCATGAAATAAAATCAGAGGTTGAACATACTATGAACTTTGTCAGTCGATACAACTGAAATTTAAGAAATGGATAAATTCCTAGGAAAAAGTGACTTACCAAAGTGGCATAAAAAATTAAAAAAATAACTTACAGTCCAATAACTGTTACAGAAATGAATCTATAATTAAACCCAAACAGCTTTCCTTGGCAAATTCAAAACATTTAAGAAAAAATAAAAATTTTTTTAACTTATTTGAAAGAGTTACAGAGAAAGATCTTCCATCTGCTGGTTCACTCCCCAAATGGCTGCAACAGCCAGGGCAGGGTCAGACCAAAGTCGGGAGCCAGGAGCTGCTTCTGCATCTCCCACATGGGTACCAGGGTCCAATGACTTTGGCCATCCTCTGCTGCTTTCCCAGAAGTGTTAGCAGGAAGCTGGATAAAAAGTGGAGCAGTCAGAACCAGCTAGCACCCATATGGGATGCTGGTACTGGAGACAGCAGTGTAACCCAATATGCCACAAGGCTGGGCCCCAAAGCTATTCTTACATAAATTCTTCTAGAGAATAAAAAAAAAATTCTACCACTCATTATGTGAAGTCTCAATAAGTGCAAAAACTTGACAAAGACATTATAAGAAAAATTTATAGGTCAATTATCACTCATTAAATGCAAAAACCCAAAACAAGGGGTGGGCATTAGGGTGCAGTAGAGGTTAACTGCTGCTTGGGACACTAGCATCCCACATGGGAATACTGGCTCAAGTCCCAGCTACACTGCTCTGATCCAGCTTTCTCTGTTAATGCATTAGCAGACAATGGCCCATCTACTTGGGTCCCTACCAACCACATGAGAGACCTGGATGGAGCGCCTGGCTTTGGCCTGGTCCAGCTCCAGGTGTTGCAGGCATGAGGAATTAACTAGCAGTTCCAAAAATGATCTCTCTCTCTCTTTCTCTCTGCATTTCAAATAAATATTAACAATAAAAGTGGGGGCTGGCACTGTGGCAAAGTGGTTTGAGCCACTACCTGCAGTGCCAGCATCCCATAGGGTACCGATTCAAGTCCTGGCTGCTCCGCTTCCAATCTAGCTCCCTGCTAATTTGCCTGGAAAAATAGCGAAGATGGCCCAAGTCCTTGGGCCCCTGCACCCACATGGGAGTCCTGGAAGAAACTCTCTGCTCCTGGCTTTGGATCGGCTCAGCTCCAGTTATTGCAACCATCTGGGGAGCAAACCAATGGATAGAAGATTCTCTCTAACTCTGCATTTCAAATAAAAATATCTTTTAAAAAAGATAAATAAATAAAGGTACCTTTTATATGATTTAAACAAAAATTCTTGGGCCAATATTGTGGTATAGAGAATAAAGCCACCCCCTGTGTTGCCAGCACCCTATATGGGCACAGGTTCCTGTCCCAGTTGCTCCACTTTCTATCCAGCTCCCTGCTAATGGCCTGGGAAAAGCAGTGGAAAATGGCACAACTGTTTGGGCCCCAGCCACCCATGGGGGAGACCCAAATGAAGCTCCTGGCTTCAGCATGACCATGGCCTAGCCCTTGCTGTTGGAGCCATTTGGGAACTGAACCAGCAGATGGAAGATCTCTCTCTCGATCTCTCTCTCTCTCTCTCTCTCTCTCTGTAGCTCTGACTTTCAAATAAGTAAATCTTAAAAATATTTATGAGTCTGGTGCCTTGGCACAGTAGGTTAATCCTCTGCCTGCAGTGCCGGCATCCCATATGGGCGCCGGTTCTGGTCCCAGCTGCTCCTCTTCCAATCCAGCTCTCAGCTGTGGCCTGGGAAGGCAGTAGAAGATGGCCCAAGCCCTTGGGCACCTGCACCCAAGTGGGAGACCCAGAAGACAGAAGAAGCTCCTGGCTCCGGCCATTGCGGCCATCTGGGGAGTGAACCAGCAGACAGAAGACCTTTCTCTCTGTCTCTCCCTCTCACTGTCTGTAACTCTACCTCTCAAATAAATAAATAAAAATCTTAAAAAAAATTTTATAATGGTACTCATTTTCATTTTGTGAAAATCATCTGTGCACCATGAAACAAAGACCATATGATACTGAACAATATTATGGCTGAAAGAGAAACCTAAAAGGGAAAGGAAGGGCCAAGCACTGTACTAGGCACTTGGGATACATCAAAGTCCTGCTGTTATGGAGCTTAACAAAATAGTAAGGCATATAGGCAACAACATGAGTAAATTATATATTCACATCATATATGATTGATAATGGAGAAACACAGCATAGGAAAACAAAATACTTAGTGCCATAAAGGTAGGCTTCACCAAGTCGGTAACACTTGAGAGAACTAAAGGAGATCAAGTCAGGATGGTAGCTGGGGAAGAGCATTCCATGAAGAGCGAAGAAGGCCTGGAAAAGACAGGAGCTTGTCTGGCATTCTAAAGGAGAGCAAGGAGGCCATTGTGACTACAATGGAATCAATGATGAGAAAAAAGGTAGGACATGAGGTCAAATAGGTTCTAAGGGGCTTGGTCAATACAGACTTACGCAGAACATTACAAAAATTGACTTTGGTGCTGAATGAATGGGGAGCCATAGGGGAGTTTTTGAGTAGGAATGATCTGACTTGTTTAAAAAAGGATCATAAACTGCTGTGCTGGTGTAAGATGGAAGAAGCAAGACCAGTCCAAAATCTGCAGATAAGGGCACAAGGAATCTTTGTAGGAAGACATTTTCTCTTTCAAGGTGGTGATGGTTTCATGGGGGTACAGCACTGTCAACGGTCGTCAGATTGCATAATGGTTCTCAACTGAGGGCAATTTGCCTCCCAGGAGAAGGAAATGTTGGAAACATCGTTTTGATTGTCATAACTAGGGAAGGGCACTATTAGCATCTGCTGGGTAGTAGCCAGGGGTGCTGCTCAGCACCCTACAGTGCAATACCCCACCACACACAAGTATTCAGGCAACAGTGCCGAGGCTGAGAAACCACGCTTTAATTGTGTATATGTTATTAACTGTACATAAGCTCTATCTCAAGAATATATATAGTGTATTGCAGACATCTGGGTGAGGGATGGTAGCTTAGATCAGGATGACAGATGAAGGCAGGAAGAAGCAGTAGGACCAAGATTAGTTTGGAGATGAAGCCAACAACGTTCTGGTAGATTGGACTGAACTGTGCAAGGGAAGGGGAGTGCAAAAGAGAGGAGATGGAAACTGCTGGTACACACAGATCATTTGCAACCTACCTTCTTAGAACTTATGCTCCAAACGTCTCTTAGTTTTACCAATTATTAAGCACTTTTGGAGCTGCTAAGCAGACTTCTGTAATAAACTCAAGCAGGTTAGCTCACAAACATCCAGGATAACAGTAATGCTACCCAGAAGAGGATGATGGATCAACTGGCCCAAGGACTACAATAACATTTATACCTCTGTACCTTCTCCACCAGGATCCGGTCTGTCTCCTGCACACTGGTATCAGGCACTTGCTTGTCCAAGTAACCGACTGGGTACAGTGAGTCTCCCTGACCACTACTCCGGTCACTTCGGCCCCTAAAAAACCCAAGCCAAAAAATTAAACCTGAACCTCCCACGCTTATATCCCCATTTCCTGTTCTACCAACCACACGAAGAGAGACCCTCAGATGCATCGATACAAATTCGACCAAGCCTTCTGGTGAGTTCGTCAGCCCCGGGCTTATTAACAAGACAGAAAAAAAGCATCCTTTGGTCACATCACCTCCAATAGCAGAGAAGCTGCAACCTCCCCGGGTTGTGCGCCACTCAACCTGTTCAGAGGCTTGCGCCTCAGGGCCCAGGACCCATCACTCGTACTGCTCTGGGATAGAAGACTGGTGTCGAGCTTCCCCAGATAGCTCACCTGCTGCCTCCTCCAGGCCCGCTCAGCTCAATGGCCCACTTGAAGCGCCGGCCTCGGTTCGCGACCAGGCTCCCTTGGGCTGTCATAGCAACGACCGCTTACTAAAGCCGGGAAACTTCTCACCCCAAACCGTACGCCTGCCGCAGGCCCACTAGCGTCCCTAACTTCAAGGTCCCGTTCTGCAAGAACACTTCCGGCGCCGGTGTATGACGTCACTTCCGCTGCGGGCCTAAGCGCGTTCGGGGATTAGAAAGTGGGGCAAGTTTTAAAAGCTTCCGAAGCGACTCCTGGGAGCTTGCACCTTTCTGAATAGGCTTGCTCTGTGTTCCCTGACCTGAGGTGCGCTTTACAGAGCAGAAGCAAAGTCCCTAAGTGACTCTGTCTCAGGAAGCGAAGCCAAGAAGAGAATTCTTCATCGTCTCGCTCCCGGGAAGAAGCGGTGGAAATCCTCGGTGTAACTCCCAGCTGCACCGCCGACTGCCCTCGAGCGCGTGATTTAGTACCGAGTGCTGAGTATCCCGCGGAGCTTTGTTTAGTTGCGCTGACTTCTCACAGCAACCCTCGAGCTGGGTAGTTTGAGCCCCGTTCTGCGCGACGCCAGGGTGGCGGGGTGGGTTTGGGAGCCGCGGACTGGAGTCAGAGGGCCGCCTCTCACTTCGGCTCCGCTTTCACTGTGTGACCCTGCGCAGCTTGAACACGTTGTGTTTTAACTTCACCCGTAAAAGGTGGATGATCTGCCTATTTTTACGGCTTATTGTGAGCTTACGTGGTACCCACCCCATGCATGATGTGTTGAATTTGAAAATTTAGATCGTTATTCTTGGCGATTGGATTTTGTATTACCTAACTTTTATACCTTTTCACAATTTAACCCACTATTGGATATTTAAATTGATTCCCGCCCGCTCTTATAACTAATGTGAACATCCTGTTTGTCATATTTTGTCTACTATATTCTGCAAAATAGCACTTTTACATTGCATTGTGTCTGCTTTAAAAGTTCATAGGAAAATTGAATTACAGGATAATGAGAATTTTCTGTGAAATTCCTGAAGCTCCCGTACTCCTCTATATCCTGACCTAAATCCCCGAGGGCAGGAGATTAAAGTATTGTTAGAAATAATAGATCCTTTATAGAAATGGGATTCAAATTGAAACTAAACTTATGAAAATTTAGGTTTTTGCACAAACTGTGTTTTTTCAAGGAAAGGGAAATAAGTATAAGTTTTTCTATCAACTTAGGAAACCGAGTTTTTTTTTTTGTTTTTTTTTTTTTGGCAGGCAGAGTGGACAGTGAGAGAGAGAGAGAGACAGAGAGAAAGGTCTTCCTTTACCATTCGTTCACCCTCCAATGGCCGCTACAGCCGGTGCACTGCGGCTGGCGCGCTGTGCTGATCCGAAGCCAGGAGCCAGGTGCTTCCTCCTGGTCTCCCGGGGACCAAGGACCTGGGCCATCCTCCACTGCCATCCCAGGCCACAGAAGAGAGCTGGACTGAAAGAGGAGCAACCGGGACTAGAACCCAGGATTCTAATTCTAATTCCAGATAATCTAGGAACATTTTGACCTTAATTTCTTCATCTCTAGAAGAGACTGATTGTAGGTGATTTCTAAGAGTGAGTGAGTTCTAAAATGTATTATACGTTTGAAAAAAACATTTTACATATTGTTATTCCATTCATATACAAGTACACTCAGGAAAAAATGGCACAAAAGATACATGAAAGAGTCATGAGACACTGAATCATCTTTTTAAATTGTGCTGTCCCGTGTTCTCTGCATTCTGCAGGTTCTATTTTTTGTAGTTAGAAACATGTAAACAGTATAATTGTGATTCTAATCTTAGAAGTACAGTGGTTTCTGTTCTGAACACACATGAGCATCAGCTCAGCACGTTCTGAAATGCTGATGCCTGGGCAGCTCCAGAGATGCTGATCCATCTGCTAAGGGTGGGGTCTGCGCACCAGTGTTTTTTATGGTTCTCCGGGTGGTTGTCCTGTGGGGCGAGAATTGAGAACTGCTAACTTAAAGCAGCTTGTTGCAAAATAACAAGATTATCTCCATCTCTCTGTCTTGTCTTTCAAAATAAAGTGAAAATAAAATATTTAAAGAGTAAAATAAGCAAACACAATAACAAAGTTTGAACTTACACTGAGAATTTTAGCAACCACTAGCTTTTGAGAGCCTCCTTGTATGCCTCCCACTGGATTAAACCTTGATTATGATGGACATACTTAACTTTCCTTACTTGTGCCTTTGAGCAAAGATGATTTTAATTAAAGAAAGTACAAGAAAGTAAACCATGATTGTTTTCTTGTTTGACATTTTTAAGGTTTTATTTAAATCATTATTTTTTATTTGAAAGGCACAGCGACACAGAGAGAGAAATCTTCCATTTCCCAAATACTGCAACAGCCAGGGCTGAGCCAGGCGGAAGCCAGGAGTCAGGAAATCCATCTGAGTCTCCCATGTGAGTGGTAGGGACCCAGGTACCTGGGTCATCATCTGCTGCCTTCTCAGGGTGTGCATTAGCAGAAAACTGGATGGGAAGTGGAGGCACTGGGGCTCAGTTTGAGGCACTCCACTATGGGATGCAGTCATCCCAAACAGCAGCTGAATCCCCCACGACAACTCCTGCCTCTGTTTGACTTTCATAATTTGTGCCACCTGTAATTTTGTTTGTTTGTTTGTTTGTTTTTGTTTTTTGTTTTTTTGTTTTGTTTTGTTTTGTTTTTGCCAGGCAGAGTTAGAGAGAAAGACAAAGAGAAAGGTCTTCCTTCCATTGGTTCACCCCCCAAATGGCTGTCACGGCTGGCGCGCTGTGCTGATCCGAAGCCAGGAGCCAGGTATTTCCTCCTGGTCTCCCATGTGGGTACAGGGCCCAAGTACTTGGGCCATCCTCCACTGCCTTCCCAGGCCACAGAAGAGAGCTATACTGGAAGAGGAACAACCGGGACTAGAACCCGGGGTGCCAGCGCCACAGGCAGCCTGTGAGAATTAGCCTAGTGAGCCGCAACGCCGGCCTGTGTATGTGTTTTTTAATCTCACCCTTCACCTCTTTCTGGGAATCAAAGAAGCTAGTTCATGTTGTTTCTGAGCAGTTGCATTTAAATTGAAACTAGAGTAGGAAAATTTTCTCCTCAATCTTTAAGGAGTAGTTTTATAGATACTATCTTGTTTTTGCTCTATACGACTTGATAATGTCTCTATAATAATTCTATTTGGGCCGGCGCCACGGCTCACTAGGCTAATCCTCCGCCTTGCAGCGCCGGCACACCGGGTTCTAGTCCCAGTTGGGGCACCGGATTCTGTCCCGGTTGCCCCTCTTCCCGGCCAGCCCTCTGCTGTGGCCAGGGAGTGCAGTGGAGGATGGCCCAAGTGCTTGGGCCCTGCACCCCATGGGAGACCAGGAGAAGCACCTGGCTCCTGCCATCGGATCAGCGCGGTGCGCCGGCCACAGTGCGCAGGCCGTGGCGACCATTGGAGGGTGAACCAACGGCAAAAGGAAGACCTTTCTCCCTGTCTCTCTCTCTCACTGTCCACTCTGCCTGTCAAAAAAAAAATAATAATTCTATTTGGCTGTCCTTTCTGGTCCAATAATTTGCCCAGTGTACTCTGAAAGCTCCTAAGACTGCAGCTTCAATAAAATGGGCTTCCATTGCAAACCAGTTATTTGTGTTATTTTAATTCAGTTATCATTATTGCCTTATGAAAAAGGTCACTCTATGCTATTTCATTCATGACACAATTTATTCTGTGTGCTAGTAGTAAGATCCTAAGTGGAAACCATTTTGTCTTTACACTTTTTTCAAATCTCTTTAGTGAAAAATAATTTGGGGCAGGGGGTACAATCCTTCCTTAGTAGACACTGTGGGGTTACCACGTCATTTCTACACACATTATAATTTTTTTTTCAATTTCTAGTTCATAAATTTTTGCAGTGTCATGAGATGTCAGTAATGACACAAACTGGTAGTATAGTACTGGAAGAAGGTGTCGCTTTTGGTAATACCACTGTTTCTTAGCAAGTACCTTCTCTTCTTTTCAGGATGGGTGTTGTGCAATTCACATTTTAACAAGTTCTCGTCATATCACATTTCCCTCTAAGCATTTGCTTAGGAAGCTGGGAGGGTTGCCATTCCCACAGATCCCATTAAAGGATAAGAATCTGAATCACAGCATGAGTCATAATGATACACCACTGACAGCCTAACAAGTCTCTCCAATCATGGTTTCTCTGGATTCACTCTGGTTATCTTGAAAGTGTGTTAAACTATCTCTGCATCAAGTATCCAAAGGACTGATCCAGATCCTTTGGGGTTTCTTTCCCCTATGTGCCAGTCTTTAAAAGCCTCAATCAGTTCAGATATAAACTATTGTTTTATATCCTGAGGCTTCTAAAGAATTGGATGGACTCAGTCTGTGCTTCCTCTTTTCAACCCCTGGCCTCATATGTGACTTTTGCAAGTAATTTGGGATAGATGAGGTCTTGAGGGTGGGGCTTTTTTATAGAAAGCTTTTATTTAATAAATATAAATTTCATAAGTAGAACTTTTGGATTATAGCAGTTCTTCCCCCCATACCTGCCCTCCCACCCCTAAACCATCCCATCTCCTATTCCCTCTCCCATCCCATTCTTCATTAAGATTCATTTTCAATGATCTTTAGATACAGAAGATCAACTCTAGACTAAGTAAAGATTTTAACAGTTTGCACCCACACAGACACACAAAGTATAAAGTACTGTTTGAAGACTAGTTTTACCGTTAATTTTCATAGTACAACACATTAACAACAGATGTCCTACACACAGTAGCACAGTGACTCCCTTTGTTGATTTAACAATTGACACTCTTATTTATGACATCAGTGATCACCTGAGGCTCTTGTCATGAGCTGCCAAGGCTATGGAAACCTCTTGAGTCCACAAACTCCGTCAGTATTTAGACAGGGCCATAATCGAGGGTGGGGCTTTCACAATAGCACCAAAGAGACACCAAAGAGGTCTCTTCCGCCTTTTCCCCCACCATATAAGGACGTAGTGACACAGGGGCCATGTGTAAGCCAGGAAGACAGCTCAAAGCAGGAAACCAAACCAGCCTTGAACTTGTCAGCCTATGAAAGTGTGAAAAAATAAAAATTATGTTGTTTAAGCCATCGGATACTATGTTATGGCAGTCCAACCATACTAATGAGAGGATGAAGTGGGATTCAAAAGAGTTGAAGGAGGACAATATGTACCTATTTTAGTACTTGAAAGACAAACTCATCATTTAAAACACACATAAATGGAGATTTGTTTCATTTGCTCCTTTCGTAAATAGGAATTTATACTATCCAGTGATGTGCTTTTTTACTTTATCTTGGGTATCTTCCATGTCTGTCAGGAAGATATACCTCATTTTTTTTTTTTTCAAAATTGCAGAGAATACATGGATGTGAGATAATTCAGTTAATCAGACCTCAGTTGATGTGGTCATTTAGGTGGTTCCCATTTTTCACTAGTACCAAAAATGTTGCTATAGACATCCTTGGGTATTTGCCAACAGTTCTTTGTAGAAGAACTATACAATTAGGATTTTTTACTAGATAGTTTGTACAGTTAAATGCTGATAGGTTCAAATAGTCCTTCTAAAATGTACTAATTTACATTTCCAGAGCTTGGGAAATAAATTATTTCTAGAGTATTGTAAGTTGTTTTAATAGTGTCCCCTCCAGGGGCTGGTGCTGTGGCGTAGCAGGTAAAGCCACCACCTGCAGTGCCAGCATCCCATATGGGTGCCAGTTTGAGTCCCAGCTGCTCCACTTCTGATCTGGCTCTCCATTATGGCCTGGGAAAAGCAGCAAAAGATAGCCCAAGTGCTTGGGTCCCTGCCATCCACATGGGAGACCCAGAACCTGGCTCCTTCTTCAGCCTGGCCCAGACCTGGCTGTTGCAGTCATTTGGGGAGTGAACTAGTAGATGGAAGATATCTGTGTGTCTCTGTCCCTCACTCTCTGACACTCTTTCAAATAAATAAATAAATGTAAATTATATGTATATACACATATATGAGTATATGTGTATGTGTGTGTGTATATATATATATATGTATTTGTTTAATCCAGCACTTAACAAACTTCTGTGGTCAAGGAAACCATTTTTTAAAAGTTGTTTTAAAGGCCAGCACTGTGGGGTAGTGGGTAAAGCTGCTGCCTGCAGTGCCGGCATCCCATATGGAGACCGGTTCAAATTCCAGCTTCTCCACTTTCGATCCAGCTCTCTGCTATGGCCTGGGAAAGCAGCAAAAGATGGACCAAGTGCCTGGGCCCCTGCACTCACGTGGGAGACCTGGAAGAAGCTCCAAGCTCCTGGCTTCAGATCGGCATAGCTCTGGCCATTGCAGCCATTTGAGGAGTGAATCAGAGGATGGAAGACCTCTCTCTCTCTCTGCCTCTTCTTCTCTCTGTGTAACTCTTTCAAATAAATAAATGAATCATTAAAAAAAAAGTTGTGTTGTTTTCTTTATCTTTTAATTAAGCAATGATTTTATTGCTTGAGTACCTAGGCAAACTTTTGCCACCAGGTCGGAGGCTGTGGATGACTCATATTTCCAGTAGGGCAGAGGACCCACTTGGTCTTGTAGTAGGGAGCCAGTTGGTGAGTTTGGCTTTCTATCAGAATCAGCATCCTTACCCTTTCTGTTTCTCAAGGTGCTTTTGAACGGCAACTGCTTTTTAAACTAAATGAGAGAGATCTCAGGAAGATCAGGAGCAAGACCTCTGGACTTCAGGAGTCCCGAGATGGTCCTGCCTGCGTAGAACGCACTTGGGCAATGCCACATGAGTCTCTCGGGATCACACCAACTTGCAAGGGAGTCAGGTGTTCTGTGGCCAGTTTGTAAATCTCCTTCACATCACTGGAAGCCAAATCCAGCCAGGTGGGGATGCAGTGGCAATAGGGCAGAGCCCACTGGGACAGGCCCTTGGTAAGAGCAAGCATGTGACCCATGGTGGCAGCAGACAGGGAGCAAACAGAGCTGTTTTCTTCTTTTGTGGATCTATCAACATCTTGCAGAACTAGTATCTGAAGAACGCAGCTAATTTTAGGAGGAAACTCAAGCCACCTCCGTTTTGTTACAAGAGTGGTCCCATCTTTGGGTCCAGCCCAAGAAGTGGACTCCATGATTTTTCTAGTGTTCCTGTCTCTAGGCTAGGGAAATGCTTTGCTCTGTCCTGTCCCCTTCCCAAGGACATTCTCCTGATTCCAATGATGGTCACCCTACCAAGGGCTGGCCCACTTCATTTCCTTCCCACCTGCCTGCTCTCCCTGAACTCTTCTCCACTATTCCTCTTTGTTACCAAGCCCCATGTGTTGAACACCTCACTCCACCCCCAGCAACTGCACAATCAAACTTGTTGTGCACATGATCATATCTTCCAGATACCCTGTTTAATTACTAGGCCATCAGCACCACAGTTACTCGTCCCTCCATCACTACCTCCCCCCAACACACACACAGTATTGCCACTCCTACCCCCAAGGAGTAGGTCTATTTTCCTAGCACTTTGCTTTTCCAAGACAGCAGTCAACCATACCATGTTCTCTATCCTGGAAAAATCACTGGACAGGTGAAGTTAGGGGTGGGACTGTTTTGCTGAGAGAAGTTTAATCACTGTTCTAGGTGTTTTATGATGGTATCTCCATTTTCCAGGGTCCCCTGAAAGATTATTATTATTACTATTATTATTATAGTTGTTGTGCACTTAAGGTCAAAATGTTGTCAAAAGGGTCCAAAGGCAAGAGTTAAGCTTTCAATAGCTGTTGAAGTTGATTTCTTCTGAGAGGATTCGTTCTGAGAGGAGGAGCGTGGTGGGGACAAGAGGCACGGAGTCACCACACAGACCCCGGGAGCCGGGTGAAAGCAAGCCAGAGGCAAGCAGCAGCAAACTTGTTTATTTCAGTTGCTACCGCTGCTTATATAGCCAAGGCAGCCAATCCAGTCCAGGGGCAGTACCCTAACCAATCACAGCCTGTTGCCAGGCAGTTTCCAAAGCCATCCAATCACAGCCTGTTGCCAGGCAGGCACTATTGCCAGGCAATTTCTGAAACCATCCAATCACAGCCTGTTGTCAGGCTCTGTTGTCATGTGGTTTCTGAAGCCATCCAATCACGGCCTGTTGCCAGGCAGTTTCTGTTGTCGGCAGCCATCTTGGCATGACCTTCTCACCTTCTCATTCCACCACAAATAGCCAGGAGCCTTGCTCCAATGCTAGCATTCTTCCCACTCTAACATGTTGCCCTCTATCACCTTCCACTTGCTGACAGTATCCCAATTGCAGGAAAGGAACTTGAGGGTAGAGAGAGATGGTCTCTTGGGATTCAGATTTGAAAGTCGCCGAGTATCAAATATTGTCATGGTCATAAATGTTTTTGGTTCACCTGCTTCCCAGTTACAGAGGTTAACTAAGAACTTCAAAATATACATTTTAAAAGTTAGGGGACGGCGCTGTGGCACAGCAGGTTAACGCCCTGGCCTGAAGTGTCAGCATCCCAGATGGGCACTGGTTCGAGTCCCGGCTCTCCTCTTCCAATCCAGTTCTCTGCTATGGCCTGGGAAAGCAGCAGAAGATGGCCCAAGTCCTTGGGCCCCTGCACCCATGTGGGAGACCTGGAAGAATCTCCTGGCTCCTGGCTTTGCAACCATCTGAAGAGTAAACCATTGGACAGAAGACCTCTCTCTCTGCCTCTCCTCTCTCTGTGTAACTCTTTCAAATAAATAAATGAATCCTTTTAAAAAAATAAGTTAATGTATTGGGGCCGGCGCCGTGGCGCAGTAGGTTAATCTTCCGGTTGCAGTGCTGGCATCCCATATGGGCGCCGGGTTCTAGTCCCGGCTGCTCCTCTTCCAGTCCAGCTCTCAGCTGTGGCCTAGGAAAGCAGTAGAAGATGGCCCAAGTGCTTGGGCCCCTACACCCACATGGGAGACCAGGAAGAAGCACCTGGCTCCTGGTTTCGGATAGGCACAGTTCCAGCCACTGCTGCCATTTGGGGAGTGAACCAACAGAAGGAAGACCTTTCTCTCTGTCTCTCCCTCTCACTGTCTGTAACTACCTCTCAAATAAATAAATAAAATTTTTAAATAAAAAGTTAATGTATTTATTTGAACGAGAGAAAGAGGGAAAGACAGAGATTTCCATCTGCTGCTTCACTCCCCGGATGGCCACATGGTCAGAACCGGGCCAGGCCAAAGCCAGGGGCATGGAACTCCACCCAGGTCTGCCACTTGGGCAGGGGTTCAAGCACTTGGACCGTCTTCACGAGCTGGGGCCCACACGAGATGCTGATAGTGCAGGTGGCGGCTTTACCCACTGTACCAAAATGCCAGCTCCTTGAAACAATCTTAATGATAGGATCCCCTACCATTCAACAACTTCCATTCACTCCCACCCTCCACTCCCTAAAAACCCAAACAAGACTGCTGCTTCTGCCACCAAGCAGAGTTTGAAACAATCGTGAGTCTTGTAAGCCAGGAGCGAGCTGTGCTCATTTTCACGGCAGCTGCTCTGTCTGAAAGATTCCCTACTGCCGCTGCTTTCTTAGCATGCAGAGGAAGGTGGGGATTGACTCTCCCTTCTTTTAAAGATTTGGTCTGTTTCCTGGAAAGGCAGAGTAACTGAGAGAGAGGGATAGACAGAGAGAAAGACATCTTTCTGCTTCACTCCCCAGATGACTGCAACAGCTACAGCTGGGCTAGGTTTAGCCCACTGAGCCACAAGACCTGCCCCCTAACTTTTCATTTTGATTGCTAAAGTCACAGGCCCAGAATTTTCTAAAGGAGCTGAGGCTGGGCAGCAGATGTTACTCAGGGAATGGATGAGCTGTTGGTTTCCTTTAGGTGTCTTCAACATCCTTTATCAGGCCCAGCATCCATCTAAGTCAATGAGAACAGGACAATGCAGTATATGCTATGAGGCTTGGAACCTCTCAACAGAATCCGGCCACTTTGATATCTAAGGTTCTTGCCACCAAGCCACACCCCCTCTACCCCCGGCAACCTGCATTCTGGTGGCAGATCCATCCTTCTACAGTACTGACTTAATTCTTTTTTTGTTTAAATTTATTTGTTGACTTGATTCTGTTGCTCCCCTGCTCCAAGTCTTCTTGTCTCCTTGCTTGGCCCAAACACCTTCTCCTGATAATTGTAGGTGGTCACACGTGTCAGTCTTCATTCCTGCCACTCTCCAAAGCTCGCTTTACTCCACTCACATTGGGATAGGTGGTGGTCTGGAACTTACTTTGCGTTTCCCCCTCTCCATATGGAACACCTTGCCTGTAAAAGTCCTGTCCGTCGCGGCAGGTGCCCCCTCAAACTTTTTTTCTGCAGTCCTGCCCCTGCTGGCTGCCAAGAAGTGTGTGTACGACTTTGTATGAGAGTTCGCTTCCTCCTGTGGGTGCTTAGGGGTCTGGTTGCCACACACGCTGCCCTGAATTGTTCTGTACGCTTTAGAGAGAGGGGTGTGAGGCAGGAAGACTGCTGCTGCCCGTGAAGGCTGGGGAATCACCCACCCACCCACACACACACACACACACACACACACACGAGAATCCTGGCACGGGAGGCAACCAGAGGCCTGGTTTTAGCCGAGGGCAGGCAGATTCCCTGGGCTCCGTTACTTGCGTTACCACATCTTCCCTCTCCCTTGAGGGCTAGGACCATGTCGTACACTCTTTCACCCTCTTCTGGTGACTGCCAACCACAACGCCTTTTGCATAGTGGGTCATCTAGAAATTCCTGTTTACGCTGATGAAGAAACAGCTTGAGAGAAAGTGACCGCACCCAGGTGTACTGAATTTTTATCTTCTTCAAGACAACGCACCTACTTGGCGGGAGTCACGCTCAGGAAATAACTGTCGTTTGCCCCCGGAGCCCTGGGATCAGCTCCTGTTTGCAGTTAGGACTCGCCAAGCCCTGGCCAGCTCGGCTACCGTTTGCACGCGTGGCCACCAGGAGGCGTCGTGGTCACACGCCCTCTTCCCCCTCCCTCCTGTGCTCTGTGACCCGAGAGGGGTGGAGCCGGCGCGGGGGCGGAGCCAAGGCGACGCCCACCGGGAGCTATCCCGGCGGGCCGCGCGCACGGCGGCGTTTGAATGGCTGTGCGTCGGGCCCGGCGGGGCCGCCGACGGACTCTCTAGGCTGCCGGGCGCGGTCCGTCATCGCCGGGGCAGGGCAGAGGCGCCGAGGTACCATGAGGCGCAGGTGAGTGACGGCCGAGCCTGTGCGGGCTGCGTGCCTGCCGCTGTCGCCCAGGGCTTCTCCAGCCCCGGCCCGCTCGCAGGCCCCGCGGCGGCCTGGGCTCGGGCCGGCCCGTGGCGGGGCTCCCCGGGTGTCCGCGGCGAGGCCGGGGTGGAGCCCCCGGGTGTCCGCGGCGAGGCGGGGCGGGGGTGGAGTCCCGGGTGTCCGCGGCGGCCTGGGCTCGGGCCGGGGTGGAGCCCCCGGGTGTCCGCGGCAGGGCCGGGGTGGAGCCCCCGGGTGTCCGCGGCGGCCTGGGCTCGGGCCGGCCCGTGGCGGGGCGGGGTGGAGCCCCCGGGTGTCCGCGGGGGCCTGGGCTCGTGCCGGGGTGGAGCCCCCGGGTGTCCGCGGCGGGGCGGCGTGGGCAGCGTGGCCCGCAGCCGCCCGAGTGGGCCCGGGGCTCCGGACCTGCTGTCACATATTCTGGGGTGGAGTCGGCGTCTGCAGCCTGGGGAGAGGCGAGGCGAGGCGAGGCGAGGCGTGTGGGACAGGTTTCCGAGAGCCGCCTAGGCCCCGCCGCCGCATTTCCTCGTTTTCCGAGGGCTGCTCGGCTTCCTGACAGATGAGCTTTTGTCTTGCGGGACAAAAGCTTCGCATAACTGCATAGGAATTGCCGATTTCGACTTTCAAACGTCGCTGTGTTTTCTGAAAAGTCGTTCGTAACCGTGCCTAGGGTTTGGTTTTGTTTTAAACCGCTCTCTTAAATGGGCTAAACAGAGGCAACAGCGGGTTATTGTTTTTTTTTTCTTCTTCTGTGGCTTATGAAGTTAAACAGGGGCATCTAGGTCAGTTTCTTTGCAGGTTGAAAAAAAAAATTGCCAGGGAAGTTCGTTCTGAAGTCGCCAGGTTAGCGTTCGGCCGCGGTGGTGAGGGCGAGTCCACCTGGTAACACTTGGGTGCTTAAGTGTCGTCTTGATTGGCTTTTCAGCCAGCTTCAGGCTTGAAGCAGAATCCTGTCGCTGGGGCTTCTGCTCGGCTAGTAGCTAGCACTGCAGGAATAATAATGGGTACTTCTACTTTGTGCTTCATGCACTGGGCATTATTTTAAGCGTTTTCTTTGGAATGGTGGTATTACCGACATTTTGACATCGAGGAAACTGAAGCATGAGGGAGTTAAATGTCTTATACAAGCTTAAACTGCTAATATGAATACTTCAGAAAGTTTGTGGGAAATAAAAGATAAGTTTATCTTTTTGAAATCTGTACAGTTTTTTTCATAATGCACGTTTTTCATCAGCTTTTTGGGGATCACGTGTATAATTTGAACCCAAGCAGACTGCCTCCAGACTTCATACTGCTCCACTGCCTTCTTTATTTGTGGTTCTTCTTAGTTTACAGAATGCTTTCATTTACTCGACTTCGTAGATAAGTGTGTGGATGTTTCTCTGGGTACACATACACTCACACACCATTCAGTTGAGATGGCTTTTTTTGAGCAAACTTAAGTTTTGTGCCTAATGAAAACTCCATTGAATATTTTAAGATAAATGGAATTTGTGAGGTTTGTGTGTTATTTTCTAGTTTAAATTACTTTGTTTTATTTCCTATCATTTTAAAGAACAGAATCCTATGTATTTCTTCAAAGTAAACCATTATACATCAATGTTTTCATTCTTAAAACTTACTTGGTGGTTACTGTGTTCTTGGGATGATTATACTCAGCTAATAACTCCATGACAAGAAAGATAGATCAAAACCAAAATTACTTCATGAGAAATCAACAGTTAAAGAATTAAGTGGTTAGTGTAGTGATTGATGCTCTACACCCTTGAGAGAGCCTAGGTTTGATTCACAGCTCTGGCTTCCAACTCCAGCTTCTTGCTACTGCAAACCCTGGCAGGCAGCAGGTGATGACTCAAATGATACTTCTGCTGCCTCTAATGGAGACCCACACTGAGTTCCTGACAGCCCAGTGTCAGCTGTTGGCTGTTATTTGGAGAATAAATTAGTGGATGAGAGCATGTGTGTGCTTGAGTACTCTCCCTCCCTCCCTCCCTCTCAAATAAATACATGGAAATTTAAAATTGGTAATTGAAAATCAATCAGTTTACACTTTTTTTTTAAAGGATTTACTTATTTGAAAGAGTTGCACAGAGAGCGCGTGCTTCCATCTGCTAGTAGACTCCACAGGTTGCCGCAACAGCCCAGCCAGGGCTGGGCCAGGCCAGAGCCAGGAGCTTCATCTGGATCTCCCATGTGGGTGGCAGGGGACCAGACATTTCAGCTATCTTCTGTTGCTTTTCCCAGGCCATTAGCAGGGAGCTGAATCGAACATGGAACAGCCAGGATACAAACCTGTGCCCATATGGGATGACAGCGTCACAGGCAGTAGCTTTACCTGCTATGCCACAATGCTGGCCCCAGTTTATGCTTATTTATAGCAGAGCTTTTACATTTTATCCATTAGTTAACAAATTTGATTGCTTCTATACCCAGCACACTGTTAGGGCCAAGTGGCTATACAAAAGAAATGTGCTAAGCAACAAATTTAGAGAGGTTAATGCAATTTGGGATATGAGATTAACAAGTGTGACAAGTGTGTTTGTGTCTGTCTTCTTCTGATACTTTTTTTTTTTTTTTTTTTTTGGCAGGCAGAGTGGACAGAGAGAGAGAGAGAAAGGTCTTCCTTTTTGCCGTTGGTTCACCCTCCAATGGCCGCCACGGCTGGCGCTCTGCGGCCTGTGCACCGCGCTGATCCGAAGGCAGGAGCCAGGTGCTTCTCCTGGTCTCCCATGGGGTGCAGGGCCCAAGCACTTGGGCCATCCTCCACTGCCTTCCCCGGCCACAGCAGAGAGCTGGCCTGGAAGAGGGGTAACCGGGACAGAATCCGGCGCCCCGACCAGGACTAGAACCCGGTGTGCCGGCGCCGTTAGATGGAGGATTAGCCTAGTGAGCCGCGGTGCCAGCCTCTTCTGATACTCTTAATTAGCGCAGTGAACATATGCTGATATGAACTGGGTAAAGCTTCTGCAAAGAGCTAACAATTGAAGGATTTATGTAGGACACTGAATGGAAAGATTGATGTGAATTGTAGTGAGGAAACAATATGTTCAAAGACCTGGATGTTGGAGTGAAATTATTTTTCTAAGGAACAGTAGGTCTAGCCTACTTGGAAAGATCCTGATAAGTAAGATTATAGGGGGCAAAACTGTGAGGATTGTTGTATAAGACATAATGTGCCCAGCATAAGATAGACTTCTGGAAATTTTAAAACTTTTAAGTCGAGTTCTTAACTGGGTTTCGCCCCTCAGGAAACCCTCGGCAGTGTCACACTGTGGGTGAGGGAGTGCTACTGGCATCTACTGGAAAGAGGCCAGAAATGCTGATACACGTTTCATAATAGGACAGCCCCTCCACGAAGGAATAGTACCCCAAATGTCAGTGGTGCTGGGGTTGAGAAACCCCTAAACTGATTAGCTAGCCTGTACTTGCATATGTGTAGATGATAGATAAATATGAATCATGGATTTTGGGAGCATGCATTGGGGAAAAGCTGGCACGGAGACCTCAAGAAGGAGGCCTTTGTTTGAATGTGGGAATAGAGAGGCTGTAGGAGTTGGATGATAGCCATGAAAACGTGCAAGTAGTGGTAATGAGACCATTATTTAAATAGCATTTTTTCCTTTTTATTTGAAACAATTGATTTATTTTTCTTTATTTGACAACAGAACAAGAGAAGGATATATCTTCCATCTGCTGGTTCACTCCTCAAATGCATGCAAGAGTTACGTGTAGTGGATAAAGCCGCAGCCTGGAGTGCTCACATCGCATATGGGCGCTGGCTGCTTCTCTCCTGATTCAGCTCTCTGCTATGGCTTGGGAAAACAGAAGATGGCCCAAGTCCTTGCACTTGCATGGGAGACCTGGAAGAAGCTCCTGGCTCCTGGTTTCAGATTGGCACAGCTCCAGTTGTGGCCATCTGGGGAGTGAACCAGCAGATGGAAGACCTCTCTCTCTCTGCCTCTGCCTCTCTGTAACTCTGCCTTTCAAATAAATAAATAAATCAAAACAAAAAGAAAAAAGGATTAAGTTCTTAAAAAAACAGAGAGATGGGTGGGGCTTGGCCAAGCCAAAGCCAGGAGCCCTGAGCTCCATCCTGTTCTCACATGTGAGAGGCAAGGATCTAAGTCCTTGAGCTATCTGTTGCCTCCCAGCATACATTAGCAGGAAACTGGGTCAGAAGCAGAGCCAGGACTAGCACCAAGCACACCAGTGTGGAACATGGGCATCTCAAGTAGCAGCTTTATTTCTGGGCCACAGTGCCTGCCCCTTAAATAGCATCTTATTTAAAGATTTATTTATTTGAAAGTGTGAGTTACACAGAGAGAAGAGAGGCAAAAAGAGAGAGAGAGGTCTTCCATCTGATGGTTCATTCCCCAATTGGCTGCAAGGGCTGGAGCTGCACAGATCCAAAGCCAGGAGCCAGGAGCTTCTTCCAAGTCTCCCATGTGGGTGCAGGGGCCCAAGGACTTGGGCCATCCTCCACCGCTTTCCCAGGCCATATCAGAGAGCTGGATCGGAAGTGGAGCAGCCGGGGCTCGAACTAGCACCCATATGGGATGCTGACGTTTCAGGCCAGGGCGTTAACCCACTGCGCCATCAGCACTGGCTCCTAAATAACATTTTTTCTACTTTTAAAAGTAATGTATGGGGATGACTCTGTGGCGCAGTGGGTAAACACCCTGGCCTGAGGGATGCTGGTTTGAGACCCGGCTGTTCCACTTCTGATCCAGCTCTCTGCTGTGGCCTGGGAAAGCAGTAGAAGAAGGCCTAAGTCCTTGGGTCACTTAATCCAAGTGGGAGACCCGGAAGAAGCTCCTGGCTTCAGATCGGCACTGCTCCTGCTGTGGCGGGCCAATTGGGGAGTGAACCAGCAAATGGAAGACTGCTCTCTCTCTGCCTCTCCTCTCTGTGTAACTAACTTTCAAATAAATAAATCTTAAAAAAAAAAAAAAGTAATGTATGTA